TGCCCGTATGTACATGTATAGTGATTACAATTTTCAAAAATCGTAACTTTCTTATCTGTTGTCTGATTTCATTCAAACTTTCGCCAGAGTGCATCTCTGATTGTTTTTGTTAACGTTTAAATTACTTTTCTATTAAGGTTGGATTTTCCTTTAAGAGTGAATGATATTTTCATTCCATCATTCAGCAACTATCCACAAATTTGGAATGACTTTTGACGTATCGAGTTTCCCATGTACAGTAAACAATAAAGATTTTTCTTTTTATGTAAAAGGAACACTGTCTTCATAGAAAATAGAAATGTGCCTCTCAGTTTGGTATGTTTTCTTTTTGAGTAGTTGTCTATTAAAGGGCAATCCACCCCTTGTAATAAATTAATTTGAATGAAAGCAGAAAATAACAGAAACAGGATGGCAAAATTTTGAAATGAATCGAACCAATAGTAAGGAAGTTATGAATGTTTGAAAAAGAGATCACTTAGTCTATGCGAATCTCAAATTGGTAGTTTGGTCAGTGGATTGCGACGTAGGACGTGGATAACTCTCCCATTCGCCGTGTACAAAAAATATCATTAATTTCTGTTTTTCTCGTGAGTTCCTTCTCTCTTGGGGCACTACTCAAAATGTATTGTAGACAGCATATTATTATAATTATGTCCTTTAAAAGGAATAGACCCTCCTGAGCCATGAATTTTAGAAGGAAACAAATTTGAGTCATTTTATATGTTGGAACAGATGAGATAGTACTCCGGCACATCACATTGATATTACTGCTTCAGCCAATTTGAAGCGCTCATACCTATAATGATTTTAAAATAATTATTAACTTTCTTATATTTAGTAAGATTTAATTGAAACTTTCATCAGTTTAATTATCTTATTTGTCTGTGTTTTATGCAGTAGTTGTCTGTTTGGGTTAGATTTTCCTCTAAATATATTCTGCATGGCATTGAGTTCCAGGGAGCGATCAAATACACCGTTGAATAGTATAGTAACCTATGTCACAGATGAGCGAATAACTATTGGCATGATCTGACGTCAAATTTTTCCATCGTGGGAAAAAAACTGGCAATTTTGACGTCGTAAAAAAAAATTGATTCATGTGACTTGTAACCACAAAGTGGCTAGTATTGACCCTCTCCCTGTGTTCAGACATGTGACTCTATTTTTAGACTGCCATCAGTTTTAAAGGATGATGTATACTATGCCTGAATAATATCTATTTGTACAGGTGATTGAAAATAATATTTGGTTAAGCGGTTTGTTCTATTCATGATGTAAACCTTGATAGACCTCAAGCGCGTAGCCAGGATTTTATTTTGGGGGGCGGTAGTGAGCACGCGAAGCTTGCTCCCTGGGGGGGGGGTACAGGGACGGGGAGTTTTCCCCTCCCTCGCGAAGCGCGGAAGCTTTGACGTTTCATTACATTATTAGAGAAAGAAGACGATTCGTTGTACCGTTCTCGACTCTTAATCCTTTTCTGAATTCAGTTTCCCCCCCCCCCCCCAGTGTTTTATTAAAATTATTAGAGAAAGAACACGATTCGTTATACCGTTCTCGACTCTTAATCCTTTTCTTCTTACGTCCTCTTCCTTTCTTCTTTCTCTTTTATTTCTTTTGGGGGCTGGCGTTTTTTGGGGGGCGACCGCCCCCACCGCCCCCTGGGTACGCGCCTGATAGACCTCCTTGTAATGGTGATATCTTATAAAGTAGCTTCTTGTGATGATGGACCAAAAGAATGCTGCCATTTGCCCTTAGATTTTTTGTTTTGTTATACCAGTGGGTTGCTTTCCTTTGCTTCGAAATATGCATATCTATTTTGTTGTTATTTTGCCTATTCATTGCTATTTGCATTGCTCTAGCTTTCGTTACAAAGAAAAAGACCTCATGTGACGTATGTGTGCCAGCCCTCCCCCTCCCCTCGAGAACAGAAAAGGAAGTTCTATTGAAACATGGACACGTTCCTGTCTCTGCTTATGTATTGAGTGATGTTAAACTAGAAACAATAATCATACGAAAAATGTACCACTCTTTTTTTCTTTTCTGTCTTAAAATCCTCTATTTCCTTAGCATATCTGTTACTCCCTCTCTGTCAGAATGGATGGATTTTTATATTTACCTCTTATGTACCACAGACATATTTGTTTTTTAAAGTAATTTTGTTTTATTTCTCCAATTGTGTAAAACAATTGAATAATATAAATACACCTTTACAATATTGATTGCTTATACATAGACATAATTAAACAAAAACTCATTTAGTACATAGACATCAATTATAAGACAATTGTACATATTAATCACTTATATAAAAAAAAAATAGTTTAACTAGAATTTATTTTACTGGTTCACCCAGCTCCCCCTCCCTCATACAAATACACATACACACGCACACATACACACACACACACACACACACATAGTACTCAGTGGCTGTCTGCTTCAATTCTCAACTCAATACAAATATAGTAAATAAGTAAGTTATTAACCAGGCTGCAAAACACAGTTACACTTTTAATAACAAGCTTACGGTTGAGAGGAAAACAATTCTTAATTAATAGCTGCTCCCACTTTAAAAAATGTAATCCCAGCTTTTGTTTTATCTTAATGGCTATTTCCTTTTCTCATCCCTATAATTAAAACTAATTTTCTTCATCTTTTCGAAAGCTGGTACTTGTCCCCCCGATCTTGACATAAATATACCATACTTCACTATGAAAATTACAGTATTACAGATTTTGTTATTCTATTTGAACTACCTGCCAACCCAGCAAATATATCTTGCCATTCTAAATCTTTAATTTCATCTGACTCAAAAAGTTTTACTAAAGCCTGCCATATCTTTTGAACGCTCCCGCAAGATGAAAATTAAAGTTTGTATGTTTCTATTTCCCGTTTACAAAACGGACATAAATTTTCACCAACAAAACCAAATCTATGAAGATGGTCATTAGTATATATGGCTCCATGCAATATTCTAAATTTAAATTCTCGTTGGTTTTTAATGAGTATAGTAATTCTTGGTCTAAAAAATATTTCTTTTAATTCTTTATCTATAAAATCGTAATTATGCACATGCACACACACACACCCATACACACGAACACACAGGCACACCATCCTTCATTGGTTGTTATGGAAAAATTAACTACCAACTGTGTTTTGAAATAAATTGAAAAGCTGAGAGGACCAAGGTTCATCAACATGATCTTAACCTTTTTGTACTAATAAAAAACAAAATCATCTCTCTCTATCCCACTCTTGCTCATGTTTTTCTCGCACACACACACACACACACACACACCATCTATTGGTTGTATGCAAAAGTAAATCTACTATGTTTTGGAATAAAAAGATTATATAATCAAAACAGTTTAAAGTAAATAATTTTTAAAAGAATCACTCTCAAATAATTCTTAAAGAAACAACATTTCTACGGAACGATTATTACATAAATATAAATCATTTAGTAAATGAAGATGAACACATTAGGCCACAAATACTTAATGAATTATTAAAGAATATACGAGGTCACTTTTTTATTCCAATGATATGAAGGAAACTAGTATGTTTTGCGTGAACTAAGAATTATAAAATGAATGTCGCTGTACATACGATTGGTACATGATATAGACATAGATGAAGGCAACCTGTTTATTAAGCTTCTAAACTGTATATAAACGTTTTTTTGTGTTCATACATTTCTTAACTTAATATTGCTTTGATGGTCCGGAGCTTTTCTTCCTCTCTCATGTTCTATCACTAAGTCACTTTTCCCAGGGATTACGCCGTTTTTGATGGAATGAAGTATCAAACGTATGTGAGCGTCTGCATATATTTGTTGAGTATAACATTTTTTTTTTTTTATCAAGGATGATTTAAATTCACATTGCAAACCATTGTATGTAGCAAAGTTTGATGTAAAAATATGGAACTGTTAAACTGCCAGTAGACAACTGTTTTATAATATTTACAACTGTTTTATCACACTAAAATATCGGGCAACTCAAGAGCAAATGTCAATACATAATTAAATATCCCATGAAACTCATAAATGGATTACGTAACAGCTGTGTAATGTTTTCGGATTTCAATAGGTGGTGATCAAGGCTTTTGCAATAAGCGTAGGCTTTTTGAGCATGTGCGTTCAAACTAAGCACGCACATTTCAATTATATGACATAAATACATATATATATTTATATTTGGTATATATAATCTTGGTTTATATATAACCTTGGTTTAAAAGTGGGTTATTGATCATATATCATGATTTTTGTTATATTATCAAATTTCTTTCTAATTAAAAACAAATGGCAATTTTATATCATCAATGAAACACAATATTTGTAAGTTTTCTACATTTGTAATGTTTTATATGTTTTATATATGCCGTGTACTTTTTACTCTATAAATTGAACAATTTCAGCAATCAGTGTCATCTGTGTATTCGATGACTTTTATCTCAATAAACCAATACAATAAACCCCGAATATATTTAGAGTAGGTATGTTTTCAATACCTTCGCATATCAGTCATACATAATATTCAACATCTTTTCTAAAGTAAAATTGTTAATACATCCCAAATACAACTGAAAGTTCTTTAAAACAAATTAATTATATCACGAGATTCTTGATATCCCTCATATTCAGTTGAAACATGGTAAAATACAAAGCAATACATATTACATAATTCTTAGACAAGAAAATAAAGTGCATGGCAAACCATGTACCTCTTGTGTACAGACAAATACTACTACATTAATGTAATGCCATACAATTGACATAATAACCTCGTTTTCTGTTTCCTTTTTCGCAGCTTAAACATTCTGATGGTCGTAAAGATGAAAATGTTTAGTTCAAACATAGTGGATTTATGTACATGATAGAGTTGTAATGGAGTTTAAACAGAAGGCATATTGCGCTTTGAGTATTATGCGCTTCATTGCATTAAAATCTATATGTGAAACTAACAGAAGTTAGAATATATCCATTTATGAAAATTCAAAATATTAAGGAATCATGTTAAGTTGTAAACTTATTGCGTACCAAAGTGTGGTTACACATTAATAAAATAACAAATGCTCTGTTGATCTAATCCATTAAAATAGAACATGGAAGGCTAAAGTTATCGGGGTGAATTATTTACGGTGGGAAGTAAGAGGGTACTTATTACCCCCATGTCATTGAATGCGTTATGACGTCACGATGTAGATCTATTCCACCAGGCCATCCATGTCATTCTTGGTGAGATTGTAAAGGTGCAACAAATTCGAAAGATGACTGAATTGACCTTTGAACTCCTGCATCAAATGAAGAAAAAAAATGAAATGTAGTAAATTTAGATATCCGTAACAATAGCATACTCATAGGGATAGTTAAGTTCTGTTTTCGGACCGCAAATGCCTTCAAAGTGCATGGTTATTTCTCTTATTCTTATCTGTGATATTTCTAGTGCCCTTTTAGAACCTAAAATTGCTATGAAGGTAATTTTTGACCCCAAAATGTGTGAAATTTAGCCAATACGATCATACCAATTCAGCTCAACTTAAAAAAAAACGGTGACCATTAAATAATTATTTAATTAAAAATAACAATACATGGGCCGGCTGGTTGTGCGTAATATAACCAAAACGACAATGCCAACAAAAAATCAAACATCGGCATTCGTTAAATATATGGATATTTCAGCCGTCTCTGAACCGATTTTGATCAAACAAAGATGATTTTGTCATTTGAATTGTATGTTCTTTCACATTTTACACTCAGTTTTTATCATCTCACAACAAATATTTTTTGTAGCGCCCTCTGCAACAGACCTCAACTATCCCTTTAATACTACACGTTCAAATCTCGCCTCGCCTCACTAAATGAATATATAAAGATCATGTCATTAGCAAATACATTTCTGACTCTCATATCATGCCACAGGGCTAATCCCCATTTTGCCAAGCCCCAAATCCCCCCCCCCCCCCCCGTGCCAGGTTGTTTTGGAGATAATCTGATTAACGCGATGGTTCTATGAATAGCAAGTGCAAAATACACAGCACAGACCAATTAGCATGAACAATTACTGCTATTACGAATGCTGCATTGCACGCACATGGCACTCAAGCGATGGCTTTCTCGCATATACAAAGCACTATAACGATAGCGTGCATGCATCCTTATGGCAGGCTATGAGTTAAAATGACTTAATTCATTACAGTAGTACATAATAGAGAATAACTTGCACTTCGTATATCAACATTCAAACTTAGTTCGTCTTTATGACTAGGTCTACGGTTGATTGAGCAAAACGTTAATCAATAATCGAAAAGAATAACCTAGCAGATCGATTAGCCCACGCGACGGACAGCTCTAAAAGGTCCGTGAGATCGACAACCCATACGACCGTAAAAGGTTATACACGATGTAACAATAACATGTAAAACTAGTCTCATGGACCGTCGGTCATTTGATGCCTCTGGAAAGGAAAGTGATTAGAGTCCCCACTAAAGTTGTACAACATTTGCTCATGACCGAATTCTTAACTACAACCCTGGACCCAATAATACATCTAACCCTAACTATAACCCTATACCTAACCTACAACCCATCTGCAACCTGACGAAATAAAGCCCGGGGCATTTGTCACAGGAGCTAATATCGAGTCACTGGTCACAGGAAAACATTACCAATACTTTTATCCCATCATCGTGGTCATAACCGGCGACCAAAAATATATTTCGCAACGGCAAATTGGGGACCTATTTACACCTTGGTGAAGAGTGATGTACATGCGTAATGTCTTGTAAAAGTAAGTTAGTGCTGGGTTGGGGTTCGAAATCTAATTAATCGTATTGAGCTTCAAAAGAATGAACTACTAGACAACGATACTCCCTCAGAAAACACTATCATTATTATTCTAATATACCTTAGAGATAGAGGAGCAGGCCTTGTTCAGCTTTCCTGGTCGGACCTTGGGTTGACTTGTTACCTGGGTGCAGTAATCAGTCATCATCTTTCTCTGGAGTGGATGTTCATTGTAGTAGGGCAGATGATCCGATTCAGCCTAATGTGAAAGATCAGACATTGATGATGGACAAAATGAATGCAATATGAGTACTTAGGCTACATCTGCTACATTGGCTATGTCATATTTGATATGGAGGTGTATGGTCTAGTTGACCAGTCACTATAGACTGCAGATCACAAGATACGAAAATCCAATCCCTGCCATATAATTAGCGTCCTTTAACAGGATATTAATCTATATTTGCCAAACTCGTCCTAGGTGAGGTAAATGGAAAACGATAGGACTTCTTTGCCCGACTGATTTGGTGCCTTCAATAGGGCTGCTTGGCCTAAGCTGACAATGACCCGTGTAATAATCCAAAGCGCACAGAGACTTGTGAAATATGTGAGATTTCCTATACAAGAACTGAGTATTATCATCCTCACTGATGTCTAATTACCTGTCTCAAGGTTTTGGTCGTTGCTGCGTCATTAAGAGCACCAGCGAGGGCGATGACAAATCTATCTGCTGTTTCTGATCTCGGCATCTCAAACATCGACGGTAGGTTGGTGAGCACTGAACTCCAGAAGTTAGACAGGCTGTGGATGACAGTTATTGATACATCGTGAGATAACACCTTTTGGATTTCTTTTCTCACAACCCATTGTTGGTAAGGGTGTGAGTAAAAATGCCCCCCTCCTCTTGAAGGCGTAAAAAGACAATTCTTGCAGATTGGATTAGTTTTATTAGCATGTTATGATTTCTGCACCTCTCCTCCTACTGAGGAGAGGGAGAAGGAATTTGGTGGAGCAAGACGTAATATCAGCAAAACGTATCCCCAACATGCCGAACGAACTTAATTAGACAGATTTTTCACTTCACCACGGTTGTTGCTATCGATGGGTTGTCATAAACATAAACACGAGAGGCGAGGTAGCTTTTCTTCGTGCACTGATAATTATGAAACTGTTGATCGCCATAGGCTTGAATTTATAATAATGACTGAATATTTTTGCCGGAATTATGTATTTACATACTATGAAATATAACACTGGAATAAATTATAATATACATAATGTTTTCAAACACTTAATACATGAGCCCTGCTCACCAATTTTTCTTCCATTTATCCGCACAATCCTCGGGCAATCCTCCACCTGCATACTTTATAGCCAGGGCATCAAATGTGTCAAAGAGATACTTGACAGGTAGAGGGATCTTAGCTGGTTTCTTGAATATCACTTCAAAGATACCATCCACATATGGACTGATAGATGCCTATAGCAATGATATAAAGACGACCATACTAACATCAAATGGAAATCCTTTCCGTGAACCATTTATGATATTATAGAATAATTATTGGTATTTCATCTTTACAACACTATACAACATGTTTACATATTAGAACAAACATATTTCAAATTACATCAAAACATAAAAAGAGAGATTAAATATTTATTCAAGAAATTTGAGTTCCTTTTCATTACTAATGATATACACTATTGTTATACTTTATTCCTAGGAGTTTGAATGAGACTACATTTACAATGTTGGAATGTGAAAAATAATGATTGATTGATTGATGGTTGGATATATTGAATCGATTTTTGTCAAAATAACACTGAATATGCAGCTCAAGTGAAGGGCTGAACATATTCAATTAACAAAGCAAAACATACAGAATACATACAAATCCAAATCAAACTCAAGACGTATCAATTATAAAATAGAAAATTAACTTTCAGAATTTCAAAAAGCCGACAGAAACAAGTTCCAATTAATCAGTATAGAACCGAAATCCGCTAAGAAAATCGTGTAAAGACTCACCTTCATAGTTAGCATATGGGGGATCGCTAGATTTCGATCGAGGTTTGCTTTCATTTGATTCATATGATCAGGCAGGTTACTTTTTTTCCTTGTTAGCTCTTCTACACCACCCTGCAAAAAAAATTAAACAGCGAACTTTTATTTTGCCTCTATTTGCTCTTTCACCATATTTCTCCTTTTCTCTTTTTGATCTTCCCCCTTATCTTTTTCTCTTCCTCTCGCTTTATCTCTATCTGCCTCTTGTTTCCTCTCTTCTCATTTCCTCTCCTCTCCTCTCCCTCTGTCTCTCACTATCGCTCTTCTATTTTCTTCTTCTTCTCTCTCTCTCTCTCTCTCCCTTTCCTCCTCTCGTTTCTCTCTTCGTTTCCATTTCTCTATTTCTTTGTCTCTGCTCTGCCCTCCTTTTCCCCCATTTAATTATTGCTTAAGTCATTGAGAATTTAAATGATCAATATGGGATAATACACAGCGAGACGAGAAAATGACTAGTTCGACCTATGTGTTACGTGATTAAAGGTGTATTGTACACCAGGAAAATATAAGCAAAACGTTTTCAACCATTAATATTTCGAAAAATTTCTAACCTTCAGATGGATAGCATTCGAAGCTGGTTGTGAGAGCTGTGATTCAGGAATCATCTCCACGGTCACATGCTGCAAGGATTCGTCTGTAAATAAAAAAAGATGTTTAGATTTTATGCCTAAATGTCAGTGAATGGTGCAGATTTCGGTATCGCTATTACCCCCAAAATACTCGGATGTAAATTTCAAGCCCGATTTCAAATGCACTCTGGTCTCAGCAAGGCCGGAGCCGCAGTCACCGAGCTAGCTAGCTGCCTACATGCCACCTTTTACTTCGTCTTCGGCTCCTTTTGATTGTATATCGTAAGCAATTATTTACTTTTACAAACTGAATTATTAGTTTGAATAAGGTGCGATGCTGTGAGTCTATTGTGTGCTGGTCGCATGATAACAAACGAGAAAACCTTCGGAGATATCCCTGCATGAGAGATGTGACTTTGGAAAGATTCACAACAAACCCTAAACAGCGCGCGACTTGGAAAAAGATTCTCAGAAGGCAAGACAAGTTTGAAATCAAGCACGATCGTGACTTTGTTCGCGGCATTTTGACAAAGAACAATAATATTCCCTAATGATGTAAAAGGAGTGGTATTCCCATAAGTATTTCTTCTGGAACAATTAAGGACTTGTAAAATGTCTAAAGAGGTCAGTAGCAGTCGACAAGAGAGCTTTCGGATACGTATACCGTATGCACCATATGCACCGGAAGCATGTAAGTACCGGAAGTAGTTCGAAATTACGTCCAAGAGGTCCACATCGGGGCATTTTGGGGAATCTGCGATAGCGAGAATCAATATAACGCCTTGTGTGCACCTGAGCTCATAGAAGTTAAGTATGTCTTGTCTTACATGTCTTTGAAGATACTTCTTTCAGATCGAGGGTTTGATATTCATCACCATGGTTCTTCGGTATTAGTGCAACGAGGGATCCGTTTCTAATCTGGAAGTACAAAATATAGTTATGAATTTGATTTAATATTCCGCAGTAATATTTATGACCACCCTAACTGCGCAGGGTCAATAAGTTATGTGTTCACCGTGCGCAGTGCCTGGAGTCAAAAATATTTTTGTGAAAAAAATTACATGACCAGCTGACCCTGCGATGCTAGGGTGCACACAGACATTACTGCTAAAAATCCTTGACATTGATTACATGCATACGAATGTATTAGTCGGTTACGAAAATGACGTGTACCCTCGATTTTGGTCTTAACCTAAACTATTCCAGGTATGGGAGTTACTTAATAGTTTTTTCATTAATGCAGTGCTAAAATACCAATGATTCTAAGCTCTCTTCTATGCCGGATTGATATTTCAGGATCAACATTTTAATTAGTATATTATTTCAAACACGTCCATATAACAAAATTACAGATCCACTTGTCAGTTCTACAAGGTAAAATTTAGTGCTTACACGTAGCATTTACGATTACTATCAATGTAATTATGAATAACAAATTGCTAATAAACTATAAGCTAGTAACATACCCCAAAGCTCTTCATTGTATTGATCATGGTTTTCCCCTGTGTCTCAGAGGATTTGTCTATATCTTGTAGCAAAGTGGTCCTTCCAGAAGTCTGAATCCACACTGTTAAATACCAAAAGATAGAATGAGGGGAAGTTTAAATATCTCAATTACAGCAATTATTATGCTTTGATTATATACGAATTCTCTATGTCATAGTCTACAATCCATCTCTACGAAGATTCACAACTATTGGTTAACAGTTGCTGTTTTTACTCTGATATATATGATATACAGTATGAACAATGTAACGAAAATAACGAAAATGCAACAAAAAATCTCCGTCGGTGGATCAATAAAACAATCTAAACAAGGTTTAATTAAATGTTAACTTAGAGGCTCGTTACATTTTTATTTAAATGCATGTATTTTGTCCACAGTTACTATGCACTGTTTTATTCCCAGCCAATGATTGTGGAGGTGTTTCAACAGCTCCCGACTTTACTTTGTTAAAGATATGGGGTCGGAGTTCTAATCGAGTTATGTGTTAGGTTTATGGTCAGGCTTCGTTTGGTCCATGTTCAAAGTAAGGAAATCGTTTTGTGTTCGAAATTAACCATGGATCAATTGACATTCATTTAATACGCTTCTTCTTCATACAACCGAAATTAAACAATTATTTATGATTTCATTCAATACTCTCACCTAGATCAACTGCATCTATGTCCCTCGGCAGCAAGCAGTAACTCTTCTTCCAGAGTGAGTCTAGAATCTTCTGTTTGGCTTGTTTCACAGTATCAACATCCAACACAGTCATATGAAGATAAACATGTCCGTCTTCATCAACAACATCAATGCCCTAGAACGTCAAGGGAAATAGAACGTGGATAAAAGAGATTGAAAGGATGATCTTAATATCGATATTGTTTATTCTCTTTAAATAATTGAAGGCTGAAGATTTCGTCAATCTGCCGGTCAACTGAATCTGGTCTTGCTAAAACCATTATTCTATCTCTGCAGCCTAGTGGTTAAGGCATTCTAAGCCAGGAACCAAGGTTCGATTTCGAAAGAGTCTGATTTCAACCTTTGTAAAATGTTAAATATATGGCAACAAAGGGGAACAATAATAGAGCTACAGACCGCGAGGCATGGATCTTAAATTACAATCGAAACTCTTTGGGTATTTACCTATGGCATTGAAGCCGGTCGAGATAATTATATTCATAAACAATCAGTCACTTATTTTATCACCCATTATAGGCAGCAAACTTACGAGAGAATGAAAGTCAATTTCCTGATCAAGGAGTTTGCTAAACTCCAGTGTGTAGTATGCATCTCCAGTCACGACATCTATAGGACCTTTCTCGGCCTGGGCCTTTACTGCCTGGTACAGCATGTACAATGGGTAGACGCCATACACCTGAGGTAGTACCAACAAAAATGAGAAGAAAAAAAGGTCTAAAAAGGAAAGGGTATGTAGGCCATGTAATTTTCATATTTGACTTGAGTAAATCGTCAGTGTCGATAAAAGTGCTGATAGTATTCTTGGAAAAAAGTCCTCTCAGATATCCATTAAATGCACCAAGATAGTAAGTGTCAAATGTAGAGTTAGATTTAGAAGATCAGATTCTTTTATTTACTATGTCCGTAATAGTGCTTAGCATGAATTATATGACATATAACATGAAGCGAAATGTAACAATGTTTTCATATTTTAAAAATGATAATTGCCATTCATAAATATTTTAAAATGTATTCGTTTATATTAAGCGTGAAGACACGACCGACGGAAATTGACTTCTCTATAAAATGTGTAAACCATAAAAGAAAATAAATATGACATAATATATTTGAGAATAAACCTCACCTTCAAGTACTCGAACATAAACAGGGCAAACCAGTTGCTAATCAATTTCACTGCGATTGATTCAGTGCTGAAAAAAACAGAGGAAACATTTTCAAAGAAAAATATGCACAAGAATTTGAATTCCAGAAATCGATAGTTTTAAACCGTCAAAAGGTAATTTCTTATTGTTGCCAAAGTGAATTATGTACAGGATATCAACTATCCTATCCACATTAAATAGGAATGTCGCATCATCGAGCAAAGGTGCAATAATGTTTCGTCATAATTCCAGCTATATTGCATAAATAGAGAATTATATTGATGATTGTGGTTAAGCAGTAACGAATGTAATAAATTGTTTCAAACTCTTCTGAAAGGACTGTACATACTAAGATTAAGATGTGTGTAAATAGAATGATTACTTGGTAAATAGTGTATCCATCCGCCTTCTAGACTCAGATGCTGTTACGATTTCATCTTCAACAAGTGATGTCAATACACTGAAGAAAAACACGAACAGGTAGGAAAGAAAACATTAACAGTTGTTAAGGAGATAATCCGGGTATAGTATGACAAATATATATTTTTTTAAACCGTGTTTATTCTTCTAGGAAAGCGCAGATGAGCGTTGTGTGATAAAAGTGACAATCGTAATTGACTTTTTGCTCTTAACATGATCGCCGTGAGTTTGAATAATTCGGCTAAATGGCTGTTTCGAGACGCTATTGTTTTTATCCCAAAGAAATTACGTTCGGGTTACGTAATGTGTCATTGGCACATTTCAATATCCGCTAAAAAGCCTGTTGAAAAAGCATTGTGTTGCCTTTTCGAATGTCTTTACTTTGTTTCTCTTCAGGTTATCAAAGTTATTTGCTTTTACAATATGTTGGAAACCAACTACAACACGTAAACTTACCTTGTAAAGTGGATCGACTTTCCCTCGCTGACGAATGTGATTGCCAATAGAGATGCAATGAGCTCCCTACAAAAAAAAATGGGAGAAGCCAAATATTGCTTTGTTATGTCTGACCATATTGAATTCAACAACAGACAGTTGTCGAGGTGGAAAAGGGATTTATAATTCTTATATATATAAAGTTATTAGGTTTATGACACAATAATTATTATTATTTTGTTGGGGGAGGGGGCAGGGTCAAATTTATTAAAGTAAATGTCATAGCAATTAATCAGAAACACGCTATTTTGTATCGGCTTTATACAGGTGTCGTAGCCGAGAGGTTGATAAGTGCTCGTGTACTTGACTAAAGATCCTAACTTCTTGAAGCCCAAGTACGGCATTATTGTCCTTTAACAGGATATCAATTAAACTTTGCCATTCTTGCCTTTAGTCCTGGCAGTCTGTTAATTAAATAATGTTATAAGAATAAACTCGAAGAATGCAGGGTGTACTGACGTTTAATAGTATCCGAGCAAGAACCATGGTCGTAATGAAACGTTTATATGGTGTATACAGGCTTTATACTAGAAGCAAAAGCTTTAATGAATGTTATGACCTTATATTATCTCGTTGAAAATAAATATGTTTTCTAATATGCAATGCTTCTAACTTGTATATATCGTAGAGTATTTACATTCAGCACCAAAAGAAAAGATATTCGGGTACCTTTCTCGACCCAGTCCCGTTTTCTTATTTTCGAGTTGCCTGATGAATTCTATCATTCCGGCCTTCTCCTTCAGCATACGATAGAACGATACCAACGAATGCTCCATAAAGTCTTCCATGTACTGAAACAAAATAGACCGGAATATCAATGAGCAGAAATATTTACAGAAGATGCAATCAAGCAGAAGAACCGGTGCAAAGCATTTGAGTGAACTGCACACTTTTAAACATCAAGCACGGAGTTATCTATCTTTTTATATATACCCTATGTAAACCTTGAAGACGAACCACCGTTAGTCTCTTGTAAGATGCTTGACAGAATAGCTGCCTATAAATCACTAGTCTAAGATGTTTAAAGTAAGCATTTTTTTGTGAGATAAAACTTATTGTTTAGAAGAAAGCCTTTTCATATCAAGATAATTTTACCTCTGGTTCTGTTGTTTCTGGATGAGTACCAAGCCCAGCAAACAACATCATCGTCACATATTGGACATGCCCGACAAATGGAACTCCTTGCTTCTGGACTCTGTCATCAGCCTCAGATAAATCCAAGCTGGTATTTGAGACTAATGGACAAATGCGAGGAACAAAGACATCATAATTATTTTGGGCTTGGTTTAATTCGACCTGAGGCGAATGAGTTGCAAGGAGGGGGGAGATTATATTTCTTTAAGAAATGTGGGTTAGATATATTGATGTTCATGTTGTTTTCAAAGAAACGTGGGTAAAATAATAACGCATCTTTTTTCCTTAGATTAACAATTTTGTATATTATTCGATTGTATTTATTACTGAACGCCAATATGAAAACTTGAGTACTTATTTTTATTTCATACAGGAGAGAGGTATTGTATGTGCTAAGAAAGCATTATACGGCGGTTCATAGTCGTGAAGCGATCTATTAAAAGCGGATGGGTGTTTAAATGATCATACCCGGTTATCAACATTCTTTTGATTGTGGAGTCGACCAGGTGCAGAAGTACTTCTTTCCTCATATGATAGCAAGGTAATTGACATTGCATAGGATCTATCCACGAGAGAAGACTAAACACCATTCCCGAAATGTAATAATATAGCCAAATATGATGCCTTTACAGCTGACGTGGTATTACTAGAAATATTTGTAGCAAAGAATATATAATACCTTCTCGGACCCTTTTCAAGATGTTCATTCGGATCATTTTCACCTCTTCCTTAGCTCGTTTCACTTCCAGTTGTTTCTTTCTGAACCACCAAACTAGAATAATCATCGGAATGATAATCCAAATGGGGACGACAATGACCACAGGTATTACAATGGCTATCAAAGGGTTTCCTTTCGTAGCCCATGCTGAAACAAAGCCTGGAGAGAACCTTACATTCCCGTGCAACACCTGGGTGAAAGTTAAACAAGATTATGGTAATATAATGAAAGATAAATTTGTATACCGCATAATTAATACATTATAATAATTCTTTATGCGTTTCAACATAATACAGAAAAATGTAAATACTAAGGCAGGTCTTAACTGCTTTTTGAAAAGTATCGAGAGAATATATGTTCCTAATTTTCATGGGTCGAGAACTCCATAGAGCATTAACTAATGCCTTAAAGGATTGAGTTCAAAACGAAAACGACAACAAAATACATCATTGTACCGGTCAAACTGGTTCAGCGAAGTCTTTGAAATCCGTTCCACAAGACAGCAACTCATATGCCATTTGCATGTGCTTATTTAACAGTGGAAGAGGCTGAAAAGGATTTATAAAACTATTTTAAAGTATCTAAATAGTGTTAGTGGCTGCAGACTGTTAACGTATACAAACCCATCCCTAAAAAAAGTCGTGCTGCGGTAAACTATCGAACGCCAAACCTCACATTCTCATGCCCACATCTCAACACACTTCAAGCAGGACTTATATCCGCGTGCCTTACCTAATAACCTCACATCCCAGATCCAAGCATGCGTATATCATGTACCTCACTGATGTACATTCACATCCACATTTTGAACCTCACGTTCTCTTTACCATATCTTTTTTTAAAGTAATTTGGTTTTATTTCTCCAAATGTGTACTACAAACAATAACATATCCCCTACACACACGCACGCACACACACACTCATACTCACACACGCACAAACCTACACGCACTCACGCACGTACATACATTCACGCACATACGCACACACGCACAAACCTACACGCACTCACGCACGTACATACATGCACGCGCGCGCGCCCACGCATTATACACCTCACACCTTCACTCTCAAACCTCCATACCCTTGCACCTCTCGCAAAAACACACGTAGACACACCCACATCTGTCAGGATGTAGGACTCGTTGAACGCACACGCTAACCAACGCACACACATATTTTTTTAATTAAAAAAAATGTAATTTTGTTTTAATCCTACAAATGTGTAATACAAACATACAATTGAATAAAATAAACAAACATATGCACTCCCACACGTTCCGCACACACACACACACACACACACACACACACAAAACAAAATCGGTAATGTCGATCAGCTGCACGCCCATGTAAAAATGTGCCAAGACCAAATACAAACACCCTATAACATCATGCAAACACTTTCACACACCCACTCCCAATTCATTTATCAGTACGCCTACCCATCAGGGAGGGAAAATGTTAAAAAAAAGTGCCCCAAAATCAATGTCTAACAAATACTGACTAAAGACTGCAACACACTTTTAGGCTCTGGAGGGCCCAAGAGTGCAGCGTTTAGACTAAATACAAATGCACAAATCTTCTCGCTTGGTCGCTACGCTCCCTCGCATTATATCCTTCAAAATGTACAAGTAAATATTAAAGAAAATCTGTATTCCGTTTGCATCACGTATTAAGCATATTTTACATTGTATGTTTACAAGATTAAGAGTTATAAAAATAAATCAATGCTACAAAAAGTGTCATTTTGCATGTTACAGGTATTCCGTGATATATTGGTTGGTTTTAATAGTTCACTACCACATAGTCTATATATTTGCCATTTCAACTCCCATAGCGATATCAATGTTCATCTACATGACAGAGGCCTAGAGTGTAAAATATAAACCCCACCATGCCCAAGCATCCTACTTACTAAAATTTACCTACTAATTATGTAAAACCCTTCGGACTGCATACTAATTACCGGCAAAGTAAAAGTGAAGTGTGAAAAAGGCAGATTGCTCGTTTGTATACTATATTTTTGCTAAGGAATGTAATTTGTTAATACAACAAAACTTTCAAAACCTGTCAGGAGGTAGTCACTACTGTCACCTTCGCCCCTCTCATTCACTGTGCTCCTTCGTCCCTCGCATTTCGTTCCCGGTCATTAAAGAAATCGCCTTCCCTGCTACCCACACTCAACTAACCCCACCCTCATTCATCCCACCTTACTCACGCACATACACCATCTGTCAGGATATGTACAGTAACTTGCCCACCCTAACACCCACATTCACAAACGCGCGCGCGCACGCACACACACACACACACATACACGCACACACACGTAACTCTGTCAGGTTCTACTTTTAACACCTCCCATACCCCATGTCGTTACGCAAACACCCCGTACACACACAATCACGAACACAAACACACACACACCCCTACGCACACACACCCGCTTCTGTTTGGACTTACACCCGCATCACCAACCCAACGTCCTCACTCATACACTGTATGGTATGATAGTTTGTAACCGTGTATGAGATTAGAACGCATCTTAGAGGTATGTAGTCGAGTGGTTTGAGCACTTGATTGGAAATGTATATGTCGTGCGTTCGATCCATAAAACATCATTAATGTCCTTTGGCGAGGCATTATAAACATTTGCCACTCCATACCTTGGTGAAATATGGGAACCAGGTAGGGTGACGAAAGCCTTGGTGAGAGGTAGTAATTACCATATGTCCCCACGGCTACATATTATAGGAGTATAAATGGTGCACATTGTATGCGCGAATGAATCTGGTGACTGGGGTAATAATGATTTCTGTCAATCGCTTTGAGACGGAATTCCGTTTTAAGCACTTTTTCATTCCAGATTTATTATTTTCAAAATCAGTAGGAATATAATTTTGACTTACTGTCACGGCTGGTAAATTCTTTGCTGGTCCCTGACCCAATGATCCATTCTCGTAACCTGCTAGAGGTTGTTTCTCTGGCAGCTGGCAACGGACCACATCAATTTCAAGAACATCCACATGACATACACCATTCGGCCCTAGCAGAACTTGAACATCATCTTCCATGCTAGCCAGATCTAAGCCAATGCCCTAGAATGATTCAAAACAAGATCATTACTACGTATATTCATCTATGTTATGTACATTAACGTATCAATGCTTTATATCTACTTCTATTATCGTGCACTATGTCGGTGCTTTCCGTTCGCTTGTGAGGAAATCATTTGCCCATGTGAAGTGATCTTTAAAATAATTTAAAAAAATTATTTTTAATTCCTGTAGTTTTGTTTACGAAAGTATTTTATCCAGGCGTGGCAGCGTGATTACACGGTATTTTAACACTCACTGTAATATCGAGTCGTCCATTACTGCTCGCATAGATCCTGTTTGGCCCACTGAAACTTTCATACACAGGGTCTGGATAGTAATCTATAAAGCCGCCATCGACGATGTAACCATCAAAATCAAAAGTCAGATTTGCTGTCATAACGCCATTTGAAGCTCGCCTCCTCCTGGTAGAGATAACATGATCAGGAAAGTTTGGGGTTGGACAGATGAGAAGAGTTTCCGTTCCATTGCAGAGCTGTGGAACATAAATCAACACATTTTGAATAAAAATGAATAGATATATCAAAGTTGTTTAATAATGAATTATAAATCAAGTAATAGAAGGAGATCTCATGATTCGCTATTAATGATTTAATAATAATAATAAGGAACCGGATAAATCATGAGCTTAATCGAACATAACATTATATAGGTATTAAATGTTGATTGTACATCCCAACAAAAAGCGTTACAAATAAAGCAGATTAATTTAACAAAAAGGGCATCCTAGTATAGACCGGCAGCCTACGGGACCATTATCCCAAGAGACCGACAGCGTCAATCTAGCGAACCCTCTGAAAACTTCAAGAAGTTGTAAAGGGATTTCATGGACTGTCATTCTGGAGGTACGTCCATTCCAGGGAAGTTGATGATCTGAAAGTTCTATGGTCATGATGATGTTTTTGTAATTTATACTTTAGCAGACTACATTTGCTCTGTGGAGAAGCAGACAATAACCAGCAAACTAAGACATAAATACCTCAGAGTTACTGGCATCTGTTGTAAGTGACGAAACTATTATCCGAGGTTCCTGGATGAGATCAAATCTTTGTCCTGTTAGTTTGATATCAAGACCTCCTCTGTATTAAAAGAAGTAATATTACGTTTTTCAGACTATGAATCAAATATTTGAACTTCATATACGTAGCAATATCAATAAAATGTCACCTGCAGAACTGACAACAATCAATGCCTTATTATCCTTGAAATATTTGTGTGGGGGAAAGATGTATAATAATATCTGAATTAAAAAGTATAGAAATATTTCAACGCAATTGAGAAAGCATTATTTTAGCCCAATTGAACACTGTTGTCTATTTTTTCCACTAAAGCTTCACATGACCAGAAATGTAACTCGTTACACGCCCAATTAACACTATAAGGTATTGACTTTAAACATATTTTCATCATAATGTTTGTCATTAGATAAGTATAGTATGATTGAGAATAGCCAGACGATCATTTTTTTCCTAGCATTCTAAAAGGCTCCCGCCAGTTTGAAACAAGAATAAAGATATTGTTCCTTACGACATAATAGACACAGTTCTGTCAATGCCATCGATAATTGGGTTTGGGTAGTAGGTAAATGTGAAGTCTTCAAATGTTTTTTCAACTCCATCGAATGTCATGGTCAATAACACAGAGACTTGTTCATTGATTTGTAAGCTGCTTGTGATGCAAGTCGCAGTCGTGTCTTCAACAATCCTGAAGAAGAAAAAAATACATCCATACATGTCATTACATCACAGCTCTATATTTCATGCAAGAGAAGATGGGGATTAAGTTTAACTTCCGTAACTTTACGTGTTCCCAATATTTTAGTGATAAGTATATGTATTAGTATTGTAGGTTTGATTGAGGAAGGTCAATCGTTTGAACTGGTTAACTATAAATTGGTGTACTGACAACTTGCTGGATCTACCCACGTAAAAAAAAGAATATATGGTATTCGTCTTTAGACACAATAAACCAATCGAATCGAGAATAAATGGTGAAGAAATTGAAAAAGTACATACCTACATTGGTACTATTGTTGGCGATTTTATGAAGTGGGGGATTAGAGTAAAGCAATAACAAGAAGGGACTACAACGGATGCATTTTCTTTATAAACTATAAATTATAAACATTTTATGTCAATCGCAACATAATGGTCTTGTTCTTCAAATCAGTAATTGAAAGTATCATCGCGTTTGATTCTGTAGTCTGGTACACGAGTTGTGGTAAAGGAGACTTCACTACATTGAATAGAATCATCAGACAGGCCGAGAAGATAATATGACAATAATTAAACCTTAGAGATCTATGTGGAAATAGAAGAGTTGAACAAGCAAAATCCATCTGAATGAAAACAGCACCCCTTGAACGAAAACTATAAAAGAATGCGGTACAGTAAAGGTTGAGATCAGCGCGCTGTCGGACCAATAGGCTCTCAAACTCATTCGGACCTAGCTCTATACGATTATTAAATTAAGAAGGTATCATATAGAGCAAAAATACAATAATGATACCTTTACATAACAATTATAGTAATGTGAATAAAATAACAATAATATAATGATAATGGTGATGAATTTAGTGACAATGATAATAATAATAATAATGACAATGATAATAATATGATAATATAGCAATTATGATAGTGCAATACATTTTGTATACTTGTTAAAACTTATCGTCATTCTACCTCACTTGGTATACATTATTTTCGATGCATGACTATATCTTTAATTGTTAATTGTTTTGTTTTTGTTCTCTGTCCACTCAAAAATGTTTTGAATTTCTGAAAGCGACTCATTTTCCCTTACCAATCAATATAGGTGTGTGCAAGCACAAGTGTGCATGGGTGCAATGGGTGTGTGCGTGTGTATGTGTCTGTTTCTAAATTCTACTTGGTGATTGTGATTACATTGTAAATTTATATATCCCATAATCAATTCCCATCAAAAATATTCTCCCATTAGTAAAATGCAATTCGAAGTGCATCTACCAATTCATCAGCAATATTCCAATTGTATGTATCAACACAAAATAAATGCTACTGAAAACATGTTTCGCAAAAATTGATCATGAAGGTACATAATATATATAACCGATACTCACAGATTGTTGCACTGTGCTTCTCCAAAACGAGCTTCAATGTTCCTTCCTGTGTTGAGATACATCCCAGTAATAGTGATCTCAGTCCCTCCTGCTACCTGCCCCTCCGTGGGACTAAACCCTGATATCATGGGATCCTAGCATGGAAAATACTTGCTCGTATAAATCGATTCAGAGGATTACCCATCAATAACAAGTAGGTTACCACTGAATGTTTTATCAATGGCATTTGATTTTTGCGCTTATCTACTCCCGGACCCCGATATGAGAGTATAATAATAACGTTATACTATATATTCCTTCCTGTAAAGAAACAGCAGTATAAACTAGTTAATGGGAAAATACCTCGGCTCAAATATGAATTGATTGCAATGCCAGTAGAGGAAAACTATTACGTGTAAGTTTGTATTGTTTTATTGGCTCATGCATATTACTTCACTGGCACGAATGGCATTAAAACAGGTTCTGTGACAAATCATGAATCATAAGAATTTCAAGACCACCAGCATTTGTGCGCAAGGCATAAACAAACGAGAAGACAGCGGCAATGGTTCCCCAAGAACTAATCGAATTTGTTCCACGGAAATGTATTTGTGGCACCATTTAGCAAAGCTCATGTAAAGTAAACTAGCCATTTTGTGATGCACTCACCCTGTAAAAGAATTCTGCAGTACTCTCTCCGGTCTTAGTACTTTCACCAGACCTCACTGTGATTTCAAGGCGTCCTGAGATGACTTCAGTAGATATCCCAGTCATGCAGCTAACACTGAGAACAAGAAAGAAATGAGACAAACGATCCTTTGACGTAAACATTTTTTTGTAGCCAAAATTGTTTCTTTTCTTACGGTTTTATATTCATGCCAAGATATCATGAATCTTGAAATAACTCAAATGTTCATGTATGCAACACATTTATTAAATGAGATGACATTATATTCGGCATTCTAGCACTCTCGGTGATAACGCAATAATGGAGAAACAATGAAAGTCACCCTTCCGTAATCACTCAGTGGCCATTCATAATACGTTAATGAGCACGAAAACATGGAAGACATTAAAACTATTTTTGTTGCTTTTTTACCTCTGTCCTGGCTGATAAAATGAGCCCATGTCACTCGGAATACACACCAAGTCTCCTATGACAATTTCCAGTACATCACCAAATTCTACTCCTAGGTCAGTTCCCGTGATTTGTAGTCTCGTTTGAGTATTGATAGGACCTGACAAGGGATAAAACTGTAAGAAAAAACACATTGTTATAATCTCATGCAGATTATTTGTTAGATTATTTTGATAATTGTTTCCATATGTTTATCATGCAAAGCTATTTGAAAATTTAAAAGTAAAACTCCAGATGATTGATACAATTATTACACATAAATTACGCACCAAACTGAATGATTTTGTACGTCTTCACATTTTTCTTTTAAGTGGATTTGGCGTCTTACAAATCTCATATATTATTATTATTATTATCAAAACTAAATTGATATGATCTCTTAAGGTACATTGTATACTTTATTTGGTGACATGTTATTACTTTCACATCGCACAGGGATCTTTAATTTTCTTACGTCAGTGATAACTGGTGCTGAACAGAGATGGGTCTCACTCTGACTGAGAAACTGATTGTTCTGACAAATATCACTCTGAATGACATTGCAGTCATCACCACACCAACCACAGTTTAAGTTCGATGGAGTCACTTCTTCTGACAGGCACCGGCTACAACTTCCACTGTTAACCGAACACTTGTAGAGCGTCACTTCAATGGAAAAAAGTATGGGAGAAACTTTCTATTAGAAACGTACGTAATCACTTCCTTTGTCTAAGGCTATTTTATTTCTTTATAATAATGTCTAAGCTATGGAAAAATGATTCAGAACAGTTATCAAAATGATAGTATCTACCAGGTGAATTGGCAAATGCAAACTTAGAAGTGAGTTCTCATTTGGAAATGTTAATTAATTTGTTTGAAATTCTTTTTAATTTTCTTCATAACATTAACAGTAGATTCAGGTAAAAATAATAAATAATTGGAAGAGTCAAAATAGATTCATCAAAGTAAATGGAGGACAATTATATTTTCCTGCATTTTATAGATTTTATAAAAGTGACAATTACACCGTGTTAAGGAAGGACTACGGTGACACTTTTGTTTTATTGTTTATCCAAACATGCTGTGGAATTGATGGAGCATTAGTACAACACAAAAAGGGTATCATGATCATACCATATGTATCTGTCGGATCATCTATGTTGTATTGCCCATTCCACTGAACCGAGACGCTTACATTCTTCTCGATGATGTTCTCATTATACATGTACTGAAATTAAAAGGTTAAAACGAACATAGTTTTAAAACATGGTTAAAATAAAAGACAGGTGTAATGCGAATATCTACGTTTAGTATATAAACGATGGTAAAGATGATGTATAGAGGAAAAGGTCGGGGTAATAATTTCCAAAATACAGGATATGTGTTAGGGTTTAGTGGATATGTCACCGGACTGTGAATCACATGGTTCGCAGTCCGAGTCCAGCCACGGTACTAATGTATTTTGCAAGAAATTCATCAACACTTGCCACTATCTACTCAAGGGGAGTAGATTGGTACCCTGTAGGAAAGAATTCCTTGGATCCTTTAGCACCCTATAACAGCAGCTCAGCTTCAGCTGGGGTAATGATTTAACACTTTTGTTATTACGCGTCAAAGAACATATGCCTATTATGCCTATTATATTATATAGTAGCTGCGCCATTTATTAAAAAGGACATACTCTACCAACGGAATAGTATAAACACACTGCGAGTATTAATGAAGATGAAGGAAGAAAGGAAAAACGGGGAAGAGAAAATGGTGAAAAGCTTAGCAAAAAGCAGCACAGGGGCGATAAGGAGAACCTGAAAGTGAGAAGGGGAAGGAACATTAATAAGATGGGAATAATATATAGGACTAGAAGGAGTAGGGGATGGACGGAGGAAAGATGGCAAATATCTTTACAGTAAGAAATTGCTTTACAATTAAGCCCTAATGGTATCATTATTTCTTCTTTTGGTGTATGCTCTTGAACTCCAGCAGAAATCAAGACTTTCTCTTATGTGATACGTATTAATTAATAAAATTCACTAATGAGGATTTTAATCTAGTTAGATTGAAACTCTTTTCATCACTGCAATATCATTTTTGTTTTCCAATTCAATTCTCAATTTATTCTCGGTTAAAAGAATACATTGATACAAAAGATACAAAATAATCCATGAACAAAGAAATGGGGGAACTACATAACTAAAGCCCTTGGCCTTGTACAATCGTTGTTCCCAATACACATTCATAGCATAGTATTGATGATTGAAAATTTAAGAATTTTTTCCTAAGGTTTCCAAACAAATACTTACCTCTTCAGCACTACATATAATATAAGTGTCATTGACGAAGGAACTTGGTACTCGTATCCCGACTCCATCAATACGAAGAATGCAATCGAACGACTGAATCTGATTAAATATTAGATTAGAAAACAAAATTGTTTCATAATTTCAACAGATGATAAGGCACAATTTTCATTTTTTGTCAAAGATTATTCAATTGTTTAATTCATGTCGCAAGACAGTACCAGATAAGAATTTATTCTTTAAAGATGTTAAGCGCTGTAGTGGACGCCGTGCTAGACGCCGGCTAATAAACATGGTTCGTCGGAAGTGGTAACGAACTATTATTATTATCATCAGTAGTTGTTGTAGTAGTATTACATTATAATCTCACATTGTGCATGTAATGTTTGCAAACATAATAGCACCATACCTTTATCTGCTCTGTAGGGAGATTCTTTGCCAGAAGTACGTAACCAGAAGGAATATTAACTGGTATGAAAAACGATTTTTCTGTCCCCATCAGCTGAGGGCAATAACTCTGGCCTTTGTTTCCAAAACCTACAGCGTTCTAAAAATACGAAATAGATACAAGATACACAATCAAACACATTGCACCTGAAGCTTATTATCTATGATTCTCTAATTTTGTGTATGATATTAGTATCCCTTTACAAATGTTCATTGAATGGCATGATTTCAAAGGAAAATTAATGTTCAAATCCAGAGTCTATACTGATTTCAATAGGTCAATGTTTTTGCATTTTGCAAAGAGTCCAGACCTCCCTTTGCGCATTTCTTCGGTCTAACGTTATTTTGTATGTGTTTTCAAAATATTTTAAAATGAAAAGGAGTTTTTGTTTTAACATTTGGTGATAGCAAAAAGAGAATACTATGACATGATATAGGAATAAGGTAGATACTCATTCAACCTACGTTCTTTTCAATCAACTAATTTAATGTTATTACTCAAGGAGAGGGAAAGAGAGCTTGTTTAAAGGTTAACAAATATACTTACATTTTCTCCAATTACCACTGTTTCTCCCGGCTGACATGAGCTGCTATCATGTGTACACATGTTGTCATAAACACACCAATCACATGACCAAGGACTCGATACACAAGAGGAACAACTGCAAGAAACAAGTAAAAAGAAATTACTGGAACTTAAAGAATGATACGATGTTAAGTCTGTGATGCTAAGAATTAAGAGTCTTTGCTTGGATCGCCTACCTTTCTGAAATTAGATTGTACTACATTACGCTCGGTTAATATTGCGACGCAGTCAATATCCTACATTAACCAAACTCTAAACTTCTACTCCGGACTAAACATAACCTTAAATCTGAACCTGACATAATACCCAACCCTAACCTCATATCTTTGCAGAAATATAGCTTAAAGTAACTTTTGACAGAGCAAACGTCAGGTCATCTGGAATCATTTAAGCTATTCGTAGACAATGCACTTTATAACTCCAATTACAATGTATCACACGAAACGTGAATTTTTATAGCCATTGTGAAGATAGGAGAGTAAGTCACTTGTGTGTATGATGTGGGGGAGGGGGTCGGGACAACGGGGAGTCGCCCACATTATGATACCACGTGCGAAGGAATAGAGAAATCATATTACATTGAAATTCATAATTTTAATACCCATGATATTTCCTCTGACCTGAGCTAGAAAAGAATTGTCCCATTGATACAATCATCAGAAATACTAAAATTATTTATCTAGTCAGTAATAGTATACGACTTGCCCAGTATGTAAATTTAAGTATCTTTATATTATAAATGAACAGGTAGCATTTAAAAAAACGTAGGCACCAAAGAACCTACGATTTAAGATGGGAGCAGTCAAACGATATGAAATCTGTGCTGACGAAGCTTACTCCAGTTTCCGTTGAGACAATGGAAAGTGTCAATGTTACATGGGCCACTGGTGTTAATGAAAGAAAAAGATATAGAAAAGGCGGTTACAAAGTTGTTCATGAAATATTCTTAAGGGAAATTTGGCACATTTTAAAAGTGACGTAGTTAGTACACTTAATATTTGATCTTTATGATTGTTGAGGAAATGAAACATGTTTTTCCCCGTCCCCCCCCCCCCCTTCCCTTAGCATTATTTAAAGCAGTAACATTTAAGGTAAATTTTCATTATATATTCTTTCTATGGAGAAAAGGAGAAATTTATAAGACTTTTATTACTTAATAAATGCAAACCTAACGAAGAGGGAAACCACGGTATGCTACAAATGTTTTTCTTAATTATATCTCATATGAACCCTCAAATTCTATATCAGATTTTCTCCAAAGTTTCACTGGTCTTTTCCTGCTCTTCTAATCTTCGAGTCATAGGCTTCTAAAGCGACAGTATTTGATGTCCTAGATCGGGGGTTTAAACTTCGAAGTTATGTAGTCATGCGCCATGCTGAGCAATGAACATCGAGGTTGGCGAGCTTAGAGTTAAATGATGTTTTCCTTGGATTGCCATGCTTGTAGTAAACTTTGATTAATCGTTGTGAACTGTTCGAACCCTCGTCGTGGTAAGTGGATCGTTCTTTATAACCTCGAGGTTTCCCAAACTTAAAGTTTAAATAATGAAGATCTTCTGTGAACAAAAGGTTTATGTCAGACATTGTAGAACAGTGAGAATTGTGAGAATTTCGATTTCAAAAAGGAAATAAATTAACAGAGAGATACTTAATATCTCCCCCCCCCCTACCTTCTTCTGGAATCGTTGGCAATTCACTCGCAGGAGGAGTTACGCATATGACTGTATTGGTCGTAGTAGCAGCAGCATTGACCTTGTAAGAGTCGAAGGCACATTGGTATTGATGGCTGTCTTTGAGAGCTGGTAGCTGCTGAACGGTAATGATGATCTACCGCATGTAAAAACAAGATTAGATTTCATGTCTGGCATACAGAAGATGGAGAACATACTATGTAAGTTATATAGCGCGGCAAAGCTATTAATGTATAAAGAGGTCAAAATCTCATTTCATTTCATCGTCTCTTTGTGTCTTACGTTTGTCGACTGTTTAATAAATAAAAGACACTATTCGTTTGACCTGTTCATGTTATCGATAGCGAAATAAAGTGTTTTTATTGCATCAGGATCATATTTGAAGTATAAGTAATTGAACTTGAAGCATCAACGATAAACTCGACGCATAATCCAGGAGCAAATGCTCCTATTTAAGGTAAGATGTATTACAATTTCAGCCGAATCTGTAGTGATATATACAGCGGTCCACAATTTAATTTGTTTTTGTTGGACATGAAGTCACAATATATGATGAGGTCAAAATTAAATTTCATTTAATCGACTTACATCTTGTTCTGTTTCTTGATAAGGCAGTCTATGTTCGGGCTGGACATCTGAGATGGATACACACTGCAAGGCATTGTAAGCCAGCCATCGAGTTGAATCGTCAGGGAATGGGCATTCCTCGTATCTTGTACATCTTGAATGGGAGAGGGTGTTTTTTGTACACGTAATAAGTACAAAATTAACAAGATATAAACATAGCATCAGTGAATCCAGAAGTAGTTGTTTTCTTTAAGAGATGACAACGCTAGGGATCCCTCATTCTCTTGCTGTGTGGAAGTTTACTCAACAGAACATATTTAAAATCTCCTTAACTCAAGTTAATGGGGAAAGGGAACCGAAAGTAAGTCATCGTTGTCCTATGCAATGCACTCACCTCGCCTCTAGAGTACACCATCCACAGTAAGGGTCTCCGTCATTTCCTCCATCCTCTCCAATGCACTCCCCACAGCTCTGGTACTGGCCACAGTTGACTAAACCCAACGTGAGAACCTGATTCATCATATGAAAATAAAAATGTAAAGCAAGTGCATAATGTTAGATGTCATATCGATGCTGAGATCAGCTGTCAAGTTATTCTTTATTACAACTAAGATATTTTATGGACGTTCCTTTAAAAAAAACATAGTGTGGAGGTATATATTTCACCTACAATGTCAGATAGCATAGATGGCTTCTACCGTCCATACATTACTAGTAGCTGTGTTGGGCAAGCATTACAGAAGCTCGTAAATAATCGATTTTCTTCAAGAAGTGCCTGTAATCATGGCAGTAAAACGATTAGAAAAATTGGTTCATAAGAAGAAAGGATTCCTTAAGAATACACTAGAGTCACTTATCCTTTGAAAGTCAATCAATGTCTATAGTGTGCGTTTATGTAGAAACAAACCTCATTTAAGCTACACATCCATTTAAGGAGAATCGACAGATTCGCCACATTTAAATAGTGAAGACGTTTGAAAAATGAGGAGGGAACAAGTGGTTCTCTACTATTAACCATACATTCTCAGATTTTATTGAATAACAATTTACCACTGTTTGTTTCGCGTGACTGCTAAAGCATGCGTGTGCTACAATGCATATCAACTACGGGACCTACGCCCTTCACTCATAAAATGCCCCACAAAAGGGCACTAATATAGCACATCAACACGGTTTTGATCCTGGGTCTCACAGTTACGAGGCCATTGCTTTTCTACTGAACCATGACTGTACGCAGCGGGGGCTAGGGTAGGGGGGCAGTTCCCACAAATAAAATAAAACAAAGAAAATGCAATAAATTATCAATAATCCATTGCATTTTACCCCGGTCCCCAACATAAAAATTCCTCTGTACGGCCATGGATTATGGCTTAAGGCATGGGCACATAGAAGATTTCTTTTTAATGTTAGGGACCGGGGTAAAATGATGCAATGAATTATTGAAAAGGATCGCATCTGCCACATGATCTGAGAATGATAGTGCAGAGTCAAAAGTTACTCCAAAGTCCTTCTCACAGTCGGATACAGGTATAATGCTAACTTCTCCAGCATTTGCTATGGTGAAGTCACATTTCGGATTACGTCTCCCGTAATGAATGACCTTGCATTTCTAGACATTAAATTGTAATTGCCATTTCTCAGCTCATCTCGAAACAGCTTGAATATCTTGTTGAAGGTTATCAGCATGGGGGGGGGGTAAGGTCACCTGTTTTAGGACAGCCATGGGCATAATTTTTTTTTTTTTTTTTTCAAATTAAAACCCAAAAAAATTCAAAGGGGGGGGGGAAGGGTTTTAGGGGGGTTTTCGGCAAAAATACAAACATTAAAATACCAAAGGGGGAGTTTGACCCCCCCCCCCTGCTCTATGTGATCGTCCTGTCAGGTTCCGTTTTATCCAGCCATGGATATGTCCTGAAATACCATTGGCTTGTAGCTAAACAAGGAGACGTTTGTGAGGGACAGTGTCAAATGTCTTCCTGTAATCGAAATAGATGCAGTCGATACTATGGCCGTTATCATTTTTTGCTGTCCATTCTTCAAGAACCTCAAGAAGTTGGGTAGCGCAGGACCTGCCAAATCGAAATCCATGTTGATGATCGTCCAATAGGTTATTGGTCTCTAGGTGCCCAAGTAGTGCCTTTCTCACAATCCACTCCATGATCTTGCACACTTTTGATGTCAGACTGACTGGTCGATAGTTTGTCGGATCGTTTTTCCTCCCTTTCTTGAAGAGTGGCACCACAATAGCCTCTTTCCAGACATCTGGTATGTTTCCCTTCTGAAGATGGTGAAGATAATCTGGAGAGGCTCCACCAATTCGTTGCGCAGTTCTTTCAGCACTCTTAAGTGTATCCCGTCTGGGCCTGCTGATTTGTTAATGTCTAGCTTGGAAAGCAGAACAGTGATATCCTCTGTACGAAATTCTACATCTTCAAGTAATTCATGAGTTCTGCTTGATGCGTTGGGAATTGCTTCCACGTCTTCTTGTGTAAAGACACTTCAAAAAAACAGATTAAAAGAATTTGCTTTTTCCTGGTCTGATTTAGCCCAAGATCCATCAGCTTTCAGTAGGTATGGAATGGCACCTTTAGTTTTAGTTTGCCTTTTAACATAGTGCCACAAACTCTTAACGTTGACTGTAACTTCATCAGCAATCTTGTTTTCAAAGTCAGATTTGGCTCTCTTGATTTCAGAAGTTGCCACATTTCTGTGACTGACGTAAGTTGACCATTAATCGTCGCACCTGGTCTTCTGATATTTATTCCAAGATTTGTGTTTTAAGTCTACTACTTGTTTACATCGCTGGTTGAACCATTCAGGTTGTCTCTTTGACCGTCTTTTCTTCAGTGGAACATAAGACTCAATACAACTGTGGAATGTCTTTTCAAAGAAATTCCAAGCCTTCAGTCGCGTAAGCTCATGAAGTTCATTTTCCCAATGAATGTGTTTTAATGATTCTCTCATCTTGTCATAGTCGGCATGATAATAACTTCTGACATAGGATTCTTCCTCTTTCGCCTATGTCCCTATCGGTAAATGCACGTTCAATGTAACATGGTCACTCTTTCCAATGGATGTATCATAGCTAATGTGCGATAAAAGATCATCCTCGTTTGTGAACACCAAGTAGACTAGGGACATGACCAGTCCTATATCTTGTTGGTGACTGCACACGTTGATAGAGGTAAAGGTTCTCAACACAGGAAAGAAATTCAGATGAGTGATCCGCCCCGCTATCGGCTCGGTGAAGATCCCAATTGATGTTCATGTAATTAAAGTCTCCAACAATAAGTGATCAGGTTTACCAGCACATACTTTTGACAATAAATTACAAAGCTCCTGGTTATTGTCAGTACTGCTTGATGGGAATCTATAAATACAACCCACTAAAACAATCCTGTTCTTGATCTCTAACTGTACCCACAATGATTCCTTGAATGTGGCACCATCTACATCCACCAAAGAGCATGAGTAAACATTCCTCACATAAATTGCGACACCACGTTGAGCATGAGAAAATTCTCCAGGTAGAAGAAGCTGATATCCTTCTAATTCCAATTCACTTGATTGTATTTCATACTGAACATTTTTGGGGTATATTTCTGTCAGTCCTATCACATCAGATGTGTTCTGCAGAAGTCTTAGCTTAAATTCCTCCCTTTTATTCAGAAATGAATCACAGTTTGTATACAATACAGAAAGAAAGAATATGTATTTTTTGTGCGTAATAATGTGCTTCACGAGGTGCGTCACTTGGTGCTTCACTTAGTGCATCACTTGGTGCCTCACTTGGTGCATCACAAAAAGTGGTAGAATGGTGATTGGAAAAAGTTGATTTATCCCGTTGTGCTCCACTATCAAAAGTTGATGTTATCTCTGTGCTAAATCGTGAAACAGTGCTGGTGCTACTATGTACATGATTAGCTGCTACTGGATTACTTTGTCTCTCTGGAACTTTGGTCATGGCGAAAACTCCGCTGCAAAGTCTCACCAGGATTCGCATGCTTGTTTACCTTCTCTGCTCTGACTTTGTTGGTTTCAAGATTTGCATCACCATTGCCTGTAGTACTTGTAGTACTTTTCACCTGCACTATCCACCCATTACAATTAACCAAGTTCTGCTCCCCTTTCTCGCTTCTGGCCTTCAGTTCACTCCTGGACTTCTCGTAGGCATCACGTTCCCATTCCCTAGTCACAACTATCAGTTTATCACCTTCCCCCACCTCAGGTTTGAACTTTTGAAGGATTTCATTTCTTGATGACTCCGACTCTAAAACAACCTTAAGCGGCCGACAAGTTTTTTCCCAAAACGATATAATGCCCTAAGCTCTGCAGGTCGCGATGACCCAAGAGAGTTTTGGACTAGCGACTGACTGCTTAACAACATCCCTTATTTTTCACAGTGATGCATAAGCAGATGCAAATAAACAAAAACAATGAAAGAGTGTCCCGGTCAGCCCCATTTTTTAGGCCTAAATGACGGGGAAGTTTCGTGTGTTTTTTCTACTGCAACCATGTAATATGAAATCAGTATGCCCTAATGTATCACATTTACATTGTATCTTTCTGAAGAGTTTTTACCTTTGATCCTTGGTCTGAACTTGTAGCAAGGGTAAGCTGCTCTGTCGATTCATCAAGGAACAACTCTTGTAAGACAGATCCACCTCCAAGAAAGACATCTTCATATACGTAGCCAGATGTACTGTCCACTATGTTCAACTATTTACAGAAATCACAAACAAAATAACATTCGGTGTTTTCGATTTTGTTCCTAATAAGCAGGATTATGTTCAGGGTATTAGGGCGGAGAACGGTCTGTCAGTGAAGACGGTAAAAAGAGAAATAAGGTCACCTATTTGATATCGTAAGCATTTAAGCCTAGTTATTTTAGGTGAAACAAAATTTGAATATTGAATATATGTAAAAACAATTTTTATATAGCACAATACAATAGAGATTTTCAACTAATTAGGCATTTTGTTGATCAGTACTCATATTAATATTTTATATCTTCTAAAGGTTTTTAGAGTTTTTTTAATACAATTCTAATACAAATCATATCTTGCTATAATTATGTTGTCATGTAAATTTTGTATTGCTGATATATTATTTGAATGACAAACATACTCGAGGTATTTATCTTGTATAAATTTGTTCAGTGCTTATAGATAATAAAGGAAAGCTGTGGAAGGGTAAATTTATTGAGAGAAAAAATATTTATTGGATAATTAGTTTATTGAGTTGACAAATTTATTTAAACTTATCTGGTTGATTCATCAAATATATTTTTTACAATAAATAGAGTTACTTGTATACGATCTTCGTTTAACATGAGCAGGTACATTTTTCTTGATGATCTATATACATTCTGAAGGTACCAAACCTTATGGAGTTTCCCTTGCGTATCTCCTATGAATGCCACTGTATGATGTCTCTCTATGGTGGTCACTATGGAGGTGGATATCACACCAGGAACGGTGATGATGGGTGAGGCAGAGAGGGGAACCGTTCCACTGGCATACTTGTGAATGAAATATGCCGGCAGATCACCGTCTAAATAATAGGCGGTACATTGGACTGAATCTGGTGGTGTGAACAAAATCTGTCAGGAAAAGAAAATGAAATGATTTATTACATTTTAGCAGAAACACGCAACTATTAAGCCCCTGCATATGTAAATTACTGTTATTGTGCTGTCTATCTCTCTCTCTCTCTCTCTGGTAGACATGATGGATATCACATTTAGTATGGTGATGATGGGTTAGAGATACTGTTCTTCTGACTGAACCTGACAAAATGAAAGCTGGAGGATACTACCAGAAAGAACGCCGAAATGCATTTGCGAATACAAGCCAAAATACATTGCGTGACTAAACTTGTTTAAACGCAAAAAGTTGAACACATCCATAGTTCCGACGTAGCTTTCTGTATCGAACATTGGCGAAGGCGTAGATATGTTGTTAAACCGAATTTGTTTTCCTAGAATAATTGTGTTAAAGTTTTTTTTTAAAGGTAACTGAGGTTAATGGAAGTGAACAGGGAAGGGCCATGGATGACAAGGCATTAATTCTGGACATTCAGCCACCGTACTTTGATACAACATTTACAACGCCTGATCGATATGCTCCACTGCTCGCCATGTGTTATTACTGTATTATTTTTTACAAACTTGGCTTCAAGTAAAGACTAGCTGTGCAGGTAATGGTATTTTTTTAATCATGCTCAGTTGGAAAAAACTATTTTGTAAATTAAATGATACACGAATTGAATCGTAATTTAGATCTGGAAGGGCAAATTAGGTTACCAGAAACCTTATCATGTAAAATTTGCTATATGCACACGAAATGCGCTACTCAGCCTCGATGCTTTCCCTACGGATTCGTCCCTGACTGATCAATATTACAGGACCGCATACTCTGTTTGTATGTGTTTTTTTAATTTTAATGAAAAAGCTATTGCAAATCGATTTTACAACTTATCTTGACACCTTCCAGGATACACATTACGGATATTACTATAATATTACCTTTGTTGGATTGGTTGAGAAACACTGACACATTATAACTTTTATGTTAATCATTTTTACATTGACTTACTGGAGATTCGCGACACATGCTGTCATCCAGGAAACTGTTCGTTGTGCCATTGCTAGTTCCTTGGAAACATCCTAAGACAGCAACGTCAAAGCTCTGCTGGACATCACTCATCTTATAGACACAGAGGGCAGATGAGCCCTCATTTGAAAATACCGCGTGCAATAAGGCATCTGTGCTGTCGATATTCAATGAGTCAGCTAGCTGGGATCCTGCTAGCCCGATATGAGCAGAATGGATCATATTGTAAGATCCACACTGTAGCTCTATCTCTGTGTAAGATGCAAAGTCTATATCTAATGAATTACGACACAGACGTCCCAAGTACGCATTGTTTTCTCTAGATATGAAATAGTACAGATAATCCTTGTAAGCGACCACATGTCTGAATAGATATCCATGTACGGCTCCATATATGGCTCGCTCTGCATTCAGGTCTAACAGATTGTGTTTTGAAATGAAGGGAATTCCAATACCACTGACCCCTGTGAATAGGTAAAAGTTTCCATTTGGAGTACCCACACCATCACTTTCAAAGTTGGCACCTAGAACAACAGCTCCAACAGTAGGTAGATCATTTGTTGTCTTAACTAACTGAGAATTGCCTGAATCATACCTCATTACATCATGTGATATATTGGCTAAGCTCCTTGTCTCACAGAAACCGTCACAGCCTCCACAAGTGATGAGAGTGTTCCTCTGAGGTGTTGTCACCACAATGAGAAGTTTATTGTCATTAACATTCCCATCATTTAGACCAGTACACTTTCCAGTATTCACGGTATGCTTCAGATTTAGTTCCGAGCCGAGTTGGTAGAGCCTCTCCCGTGCTCCAATATAGACATCTTCAGTGGTGTTGTTGACGGCGATGTGGTTGAATGGTAGGGTGGAGTCAGAGTCAGGAGGGGTAAATGATGATACCAGATAGGAGGAGAGAGGAGCTGATCGGATTGACCGAGGGTGGCATGATATAAGGATCAGGAAGAGCCATAACGCTTCCATACCTTTCCAAGCCATGCCTGTAAAGGTTTACAGCACTGCAGGCTTCTATGTTCACCTAATCTGTAAAGATTAAAAGAAGATACATTAAGAATAAAATGAATATAATTTATCAAAATAATGAATTTGTTTACCCCGGAAAGTCTCATTAATGGTGTTCTTCCTAGGGCCCTGCAATTAGCGTTACCTCACCAATTACCATGTATCCATGTACACCTAGGTGGAGGGTGGCAAATGTGGATTAATGTCTTGCAAAGGACATTAGTTCCGGGCAGGGATTCGAACGTACAACCCTTGGATTGGGGTTCAAGTGATTGAACCAAGTAAATGAAGTCGATTAGACCTACCAATACTTCCAGGTAGAAAGCCTCAGGTACTGGGTGCATAGTTAAGTGGATACTAAACATAATCAATTATAAACTCATGTACAATGAATTAACCTCGAGCTGGATTTTTCTTTCTTAATTATCGATGAGTAGACAAGATTTTGACAGCAGTTTATAACGATATTGGTGCTGAGTCGTCCGTGGCAGAGAAATGTGGATAAGGTACCATTAGACAGGAACGTGTTATTCTTTATACCGTGAAATAGATTCAAATTGATAATAAACTTTTAATCATAAGGTACCAAAGTTGTGTACACTTTTTGGGGGGTACGCACTGTAGTGCATTTTCATCAGTTGCAGAACTTTATGACATTTTAATCATAAGCTACCAAAGTATGCCCTTTTTGTGGTACGCACTGTAGTGAATTTTCATAATTTGCAGAAAATGTGAAAGTCATTTCAATATCCAAATATCAATGGTCAATAAGTACTCACCCTTAGTGGTAGTTTCAACAGAAGGCAAAATTAATGTCAGGTAGAATCGGCAATTATCAACAATCTGATGAAGAGGTTTGATCATATGTCGATCTGCAACAGTTACTGAACATGCTTCGATTAAAGTAACAGTACTTCCGCTTTTAGAATGTACCATTCCTTAACAGTAAGCGTTTCTATTTTTATTATATACAGGAGCAATATTCAGTATTTGAATAAGCATTCCTACTTTCCTGTTCATTTGATTGAGTGGTAACTTATCTATGCAGGCATAAAATGATATGCGTGTGATTTGATAATGGGTAAGTTGATAAAAATACAAACCTACATTTCATTTTTCCCACACCGTAATGGAATGAGCCCTATTCAACAAAGGTCATATGTAAATAGAGAGATTTGTAGTAACTAATGATAGGCAACACCTGTGATATACCTTGTTAGTCTGACATTGATATGCAATCTATTCCAAACTTTACTGCACACAAAAGAAAATGAAATTTGACCTTGTCAAAATTGTCACCTTTTGTCACCTTTTGTGTCTCGTGGAGTAGCTTGCTCTATAAGGTTAGACTACCCTTTTAAAATAAGAGGCAACTTTGTATTAAAAAGATCAAACATGAAAATGGAAATTGATAAGCATGCATATTATATAAATATTATCATAGGTCCACAAAAAAGAAAAGACCCTCATGAGTGCAACATATTCAACTGAAAACGACATTTTAGTCATTTTGTGTGTTGAAACAAATAGGAAAATTATATGACACTACATCACAGTGATATAACCGATTAAGCCAATTTGAAGTGCCAATTGCTATAGTAATGACTACTTTCAAAAATTCTAATTCTGCTTTGTCCGATTTTATTTTAACTTTCACTGATATGCTTCTGTGGTTGTTAATGCTCTCTTTTAAAGTAGTTGTATTTTAAGGTTGCATTTTCCTTTAAATGTAGTCTGCATGGCATTCGCAAAAGTTCAAGGCAGCGATCAACAGCGCCGTTGAATAGGTATAGAAAACTATGTCATAGATGAGTGAATAACTATTGGCATGATCTGACGTCAAATTCCTCTATCGTGGGAAAAAAGGCGATTCTGACGTCGTTAAACAAAATTTAACATCAATTCATGTGACCCTTGGAACCATAAAGTGGGTTGTATTGTCTCCTCTCCCTGTGATCAGACATGTGATTGTATGTTTATATAGCCTCCAGTTTCAGGAATGGTGTATGCTATGCATAAATTATATATTTATATTTGTACAGGTCATGGTAAATAATACTTTTTGTCTTTTTTTTCTATTCATCACATTCTGGCTCTTTGTGATAATAGACTGGAAGAATGCTGACATTTGTATTTTTTTTTGTATAATAGTGGTCGGTTGCCTGCCTATGATTTTAAATATGCATATCTATTTCTTGTTGTTTTGTCAATCAATATTTTCTATATTTATGCTTGATTCAGTGAATTTCGAATAGGAATGAGCAGGAAGTCACAGGACAAACTATTTTAGAGGAGGTTTTAAATCGTCGGAAAAGTAACCCAACAACTTAACGCATCAAATGTTAGTACAATCGAGAAACGTGCCTTATCTCAAAATGAGGAAAGGAACTTGTATGTTTGGAATAATAAACCGTAGGTTTACGCGAAAACCTCATTCTCATTCACACGTTGTTTAACTTCTTTTTTTCACTTTGGTACATTGTGTTATTGCCTAACATTGTTATTTTTTTTTTCCTTCTCAATCATGATAAAGTCTATGACTTTGTATACATGCCGCATAACATTTCCGTGTTAAGAAAAGCATGGCTATGTTTGAGAGCCCGGTCACCCCCAACGAGACCGACGCCAAACCGATATATGACCTCCCTCCAATGACCAAAAGATAGTTTGCAGGCACAAACCCATGTATATTCGCAATGGGTAACTATATCTGCACTAATAGACTAGGCTGAGAGCAAAGTACATTGAAGATGGTGTTAAAATGTCAAATAAGATTCTGTGCCTGGAGACTAGGCTAGGAATCGGTCGCTATGGGGTTGGGTTTTAAGATATATACCCCACTTACATCGATGGGACCGAAAAGAGACCGTACCCAAAATTACATTTAACCAAATGGCAAATAATAGGTCGATACGGAGGTTGCTATAAAGCAGTTTTATAACCGAGTTATAAGAACGGGGATAATGAGCATAATTTTTCTTTCATTTTGGCCCCCGGAAATTTGAAAATCGCGCAGACCGTTATTTGCGCTCAGTGGGGGGGGGGGGGGGGGGGGGGGGGGGGGGGGGGGGGGAGGGGGTGTGAACACTAACTTACAAATTATATAAACCTTTTTTTTTTAATTTAACCAACAACAAAAAAATGTCCGGAGGACCGGGCCCGTCGGCCCCCCCCCCCCCCCCCCCCCCCCCCCCCCGTGGATCCACACCTTGGCGGAGCGTCTTTCTAAATAGGGAGAGGGCACCAATAAAAAAGGGCACTTTCTGAAGAAAAAAAAGGGGGCGCCTACAAGGAGAAACATCAACAGAACCTACACCATTTTTAAAACATGGGTATATACCCCTACATCATGATTGTGATTACACTACCAGGGTTGATATCAATATTTGTTTCTTTCTTTACGTGGTACGAGATACTGCTTAATTAAGCAATATGGAGCGAGCAAAAAATTAAAGATGTGTGAGGTCCCAGGGCAAAAAACTTGCATCTTATAAAGAAGACGCCCTAAAATTTTTGCCAATTTTGCGAATCTGCAGCTATGAAAAAGTTGTGAAAATAACTAAGTCCGCCTAATTAAATGCGCATATGTAATAAAATCAAAACTGAACATGATACATCAGTGAAACCTTTGTATATAAAATATATTTCATTTCAAATAAAACAAAAATTATGAATATTCATCAAATAAGCAAGTCAATGGGCGATCAGCGGGCCATGTCACACATGGCTGAAAAGACAATATTCTAATTAAATAATTTAACATATTTCCCTCATGCATATTACAATGAAACTACACAGAATTGTAGTTAAAGGTATGCTTGAAATATATGTGAAATAAAAATAAAAATATTGTTTATTTAAAAAAAAAAAATTACAAAAATTGCTATTTCTACCAACTGACTGCTGTTGTGTGTGTGTGTGTGTGGGTGTGTGTGTGTGTGTGTGGGTGTTCGCGGGGCAGACTGTGTGCACAGGCAGTATGATCACCCTATTAATATTCCTTTTCAAAAAAGTGGGGGGGGGGGGGAGCTGGAGGCTCCCGATCCCTGCCGTTCCGCGGGGCTTGACATGTAGGCATATCAAGAAGCATATTTCTTGCCTGGCTGTAAATTTAGGAATTTGTCATTTTACAACAAACGCAATAAAATTTACTAAAAAAATGAAGAAAAATCTCTGAAAATTATGTTATTTCAGCATTATGTGTAAACCACCGTTATGGAATTAGAAATAAACCACGTTTAAATATGGTTTCCCCCCGAGCCCCCTCCCCGATCAGTACGCCAGTGCCCCCCCCCCCCCCCCTCTGATCTACACTTTGTTGGCGGAAAAATCGCAACTGATCTCCCCTACCTTTCTTCTTTCTCTTTATTTCTTTCCCTTTCTCTCCTCTATCCCTTCCCTCCCTTCTTTCTCTTTTAGATTTGCTGGGGGGGGGGGAGGCAAGGTCATTTCGGCCCCCACCCTTCTCCACATGTTGTTGGCGGGATTAACCGCAAACGACCTATTTCCCCTTCTTTTCACCTTTTTTTTTTCTTCTTCCACTTTTCGGCCCCTTTTAGCTCTCCTTTTTTCCTTTTCCTTCCTTCTCTCTTTTCTTTAGTGGGGCGGGGGTAGGCAAGGGCGTTCTGCCCCACCCCACCCCGATCCACAACTTGTTGGCGGGAAAAATGCAACTGATACCCCCTTCTTTTCTTTTCTTCTTCCTCAATTTTCCTTCCGTTTATCTCCTCTTTTCCTTTTTTTCTTTCCATTTCCTTCCTTCTCTCTTATTGTTTGATTGGGGGGGGGGAGGGGCAACAGCCTGGGAGGCGAGGCCCTTTCGCCCCTTCCCCGATCTCCTTCTTCCCCCTTTTCTTTTTTTCTTCCTCTTTCTTTCCCTTTCTCTCCTCTTTCCCTTCTTTTCCTTCTCTCTCTCGAATCGTTAAGAGTAGTCTACTTTTATTATAAAACTTACAAATTTGACCGACAGCTTTGATCATTATGAGCTCATGAATGTGTATCATTCCATCATTTATTATTTATGAAATATGTAGTTTCAACTTTCTTTTGACGGTTATCTAAAGTTTTTTAGGATACACTTGATAGCCCTGAATATTATAACCGTTTGGAAATATATATTTTCAAGAGTGTATGGTTGTATTCTAGCATTTGTTCCCCGGAATTTTTTCCTGTTTTATTTAAGTTGCAAAATGTGAACAATATTGCGTCACCAAACATTTAAAGAAATGCGCGTAAAGATAAAATTGAGTTCTGGTTATGCGATGGCATTGTGAAAGAAACGTTGTGAAATCGATCAGAAAGGTTGATCATTTAGCATATAAATAATGGTGTGTACTGCAAGGTTCTGGAATCATCAAAATGTTAAAGTTACAAGCACTGTACACAGACAGATGTTTATGGGACTACACGGACATGAGGTATAAAAATCCGTCCCGATTTTTATGATTTTACCTGCCATTAAGGCATTTGAATCTGATGTTCTTACACACTTGCATAATACAATGATAACGCTCACAAATTATTTTCAACTCTTCCCAGAACTCAACCTTCTCTTTAAACAGCAGATTATCACTGAGAGCTTTGGCGTGCCAATCCTGTGGCTCACTGCATCTCAGAATAACCAAATTATTCAATATAAGCGCGCGAGAGGTCGGGTTTTTCGTCTGGTTGTTCTAAATTTAATTTCTCTTAATATTTTAGCTTGTCACCCTAATCCTTGTCTTCATGGAGGCACTTGTGCGGAGAGCGAAACAGGAATTTACTGTATCTACTTAGATGGCTATCTTGGTGACAGGTGCAAGTGTGGTTAGGGAGAGGTATCAGGTATGAGTAAAATATATGAGGGTGTAATACTTAAAGACATCGTTTAACAATGTTAAATCTGAGATGCATGGCCCTACGTGTTATCAGTTGCTGTGGCATGGTTTAATATTGAAGCCTTAAAAAAAACATTGCGCTTCAAAATGATCATGAAGTGCCTCAGAAAAGTAAAAAAATCTTTGAATGACTGGTTTTACCATACTCATTTTTCTGATAGACTCTATTGTTATAAAAACCGTTAGGAAATCGAATTCTGAAATTTATAATTCCAATCATAGATATCTTGATAATCAGACAGGCGATTGGCTTGTAAGAGCCATGGGATACATTCATGACCTAAATGTTTATAATTATGATTGTAACATGAGCTAAATCCAAGATGTGTTTTAAGAATCTGAGGCAAAGTTACCCAATCCCTTTAAGGTATACGTACGATGTATGTCAGGGGTTGTACACGGAATGTGGTAGGCGAGCGGTGTAAGTATGGAAAGAACTTATTTTATGTAGGTCTACGATAAATAAGAGATGTGTGTATATATATGGGCATAGAGAGGCGTAAAATTGTAAATAAGATGTGTGCATGAGCGTGTGTGTGTTCGGGTGAAGGTGTGTGAGTGCGCGTGTGTATAGGTGGGTGTGTGCACACGCGCACGCTATCCCACAATTTAACAACAAACTATGCTTTTACCTCATGCTCCTTCATATCCCCATTTCCAAATCTAATTATTCCTTATTTTACAAGTAACCACAAGCAAACGAAAGTGATATTATATATTTCACGTACTTTTTAATGAAAATACCAGTGTATTTTTCTGATCATAATTATGGATGATAACTTAATCAATTTATATAGCGCAGCTACTAAATAGATTTTTTTTTAATGCGCTGTGATGATAAAAAAATCTTCTAATGCACTGTGCTAATAACAAAAAAAATCGTAACAGAGCTAGTTTACTTTACAAAGCTGACAATGTGTAACATGGAATGTGAAATGCAAAATATGAAAATATTGAATAGCAAACCTTGAATTCATTTTTTGTTTCCACAAATATTTCTTGACTTGTATATTAATTCTAAAGATGCGTTCATCCTAGGGGAAACCAACATGAAGGTCCAATGACGTTCACAATTCGCCCCCATCCTACCAAGTGCATGCTGGTTCACCAGGAACAATGGAACAGTAACTCATCTGATCTGGTGTGCCGATATCTGGGATTTGAAGGTATATTTTTAAAAGATGATAATTTGTTTCTCAAAATTGATTTCCGCTTTGCAATCTTCTTGACGCACTTACAAGTTTAGTTTTGGTTTTTAGCCATCATTCTTTAAAAGCCCCCCCCCCCCCCCCCCCCAACAAGAAAAGGGAGGGTGAAGGGTCCTCTACCATTCCACATCACCTCGTATCATACTTTCAGTCTTTCTCAATTCACAAACATCCTCTACCATTCCAGTTCATTCTGTATCATCTGAGATGTCAATTGTCTTTCAATTCCTTTCAGGGGCCGGTTTGCCCGACATTCTTTATCTTCATTAAAACATGTAACTTTTACCGATTGTAGCACACACACACACACACACACAATGTTCCATGGCGAAGTGAGCTCGATTCTATTACAAATTGATATCAAGATGATACAAGTTGTGTGGGGCAACAATTACATGGTTTATTTGTCAGTACATCAGAACTTGGAACAATTTGTATCACAACCACCATTTACAAATGTGTTGTGTCAATCTTTATGAGTTTTATACATACTCCAAACATTACAAAACAGGGTATATGTTAGCTTCAGTACACACTGATTTAATAACAAACAAAAATCAAAGAACTTCAATTCACTTGACATGGAAATGTAATCGATCTATGCATGAATTCTCCCCAAAGTCTGCAGACTACGGGTGAAAGAAAGAAATCTTCAAAATGAAAGTGAGTATAAAGAATTTGCTTGGAAAGCACTCTGTTTAAAAGATGAAAATGTAAAAATCAAGCTCGTCTATACATGAGCGTCTATTGTCATTTGTTTTAAAATTAAAATCAGTCAAATTGAAACTGGCTAAGAAAGTCATAAAAACAATACACCGCTAACTTACATTGCTATTTAATTCATGGCAAGATTACCGTAATCTACTTCATTACAATTAAGCTGAAAGGATTCCTTTTAAACTACTGACTATTTATTTGCAGCTAATTAGTTATGTAGTTATGATACATGTATATTGAAAAGATTTTCCCTTGAATAAAACAAGTGATAGTTGCTAAAATTCACACTTATACACAGCTTGCATTTCTTATCTGTACAGAGTTTCAAACACCTACAATAACTAAACAGCAACCTAGCCAGGCTTGAAAGGTGCCTTGTTGCCTGCCACCCACAACAACACTACAACTATCACAACTAACAACTTCTTTGCACTGATGACCTCATCCACCACATGGCCCAAAAGAATCCTTTCTGGCCAATAATATCTTTTAATTATCTCTCCTTAACGAGTAGAATGCATTTACATAATCCGCAGAAGCAAATTATACAGAATTATTACATAATAGCAATTGTGGGCAAAACCACACCGATAAAAAAAAAAGTGTGATACATGGTGATAAGATATGGCAGGAAAAAAAATTATTAAAGCAAGATTTTACAGACTATATCTAAATTTACAATATCTAAACATTTCTTTTCCAATTTAAATAAGAGCTATCCAATACGCAGGCTTTATTTTAATAATATGAATTGACAAATAAAAAACCTGATATATAAACAACTTGCCCATCACTACATCAATATCTGTCAATGCTTCATCTGTCCAACAAACATTCATTCAATCTTCCATTTATTGAAATAAGAATGTCTGTTATGATTCCATCCAAATAGTACAATTATCATCTTTCAAATTCTCAATTCCTACACATGAGAATAGATCCATTTCTTTGACTACTATACAAACTCTAACTGTCATGTTTTGATCCTACGTTAATTAACATCTCGCACTAATTTCCTCAGATTTGCAATAATTTACGTCGCGAGAGTTGGCAGTACATGCAACCTGTCTTTTTGTTTTGTTGCCCCGAGGCGACATCCACAAGACAATTAGTACTGATTCATTTCATTCAGGGATTTCATTATTAAAACATTGGGAATAATAGACAGTCCTACAAGAATCATAGCCATGCGTCCTTAACGCATGATATCCATGAACTGAACAGGACTGGTTAAAAAAATTACCCACTACCTAACTACCTGGCAATGATATCATACACAAACAAATCTCGTATAGAACTAAGAATATATAAAGAAAAAAATGATGATGATTAGAATATCTAATTATAAATCGATCAAATTAAAGTCTTAAAGACATATGAAGAAAGAAAAAAAAACATATACTTAAGGATAAATTTCAGTCAAATCATGTACAGGTACAATCAAATTACATTAGATTTTTGGTAAAACATATTTCGTGCAAAATATTCACAAAATCATAGGAACTAAATCAAGGTTACCCTAAAGATTGTCCTATTATATTAAACTCGCTTATCAAATTCTAACTTGGCATTTAGACTTGGCACTGTAATCTTTTTTTGTATACAGTATAGGCCCAAAACAAGGTTATACTACCCTATACTATATCTTCGCACAAAGCCTTCTCAATTAGTCTAAGCATACACTGATGTACTGGCTCTTTTCAATTACAATCAAACCTGTCCATAAAGGTCACCCTAGGCAAACCAAAAGAAGGTTGCAACTGTAGACATGTGGCCTTTCTAGACAGGTTCTACGACACACATTTCTTTCTTGACAGAGACGAAATTCCTGGCGACTATAGACAGGTGGCCTTTATAAAGAGGTGGCCACTAAGACAGGTTTGACTGTATGTTGGCATTAACGATATGAATCGGAAATCATTTAAGAGGATCATGTTTATTGAGACTGCTTACAACACCTTAGTAAGCAGAAAAAAAGAATACAAAAAGAGTATAAGCTTAGATATATATTTTTCTATTAATCTTTAAAGTGAGTGAATGAATATCACAAAATGGCAGAAATGGTGCTATATATATACAGGCAAATATGAAGCAACACGAACCAGCCAATTTCATCATTTTATTTCAAATTCGAATTTCAAAAACGGCTTTAAAATCATCAATGAAGTGACAAAATATGACAAACTTGCATCTATTTTCCTTTGTGCTTTCCTTTCACCCGACACATCCCAATCCTAAATTTAGCGTTTACTTTCATCTTTAATCATGTTCACACTGTTGCGCCTAAATGGTTAAAAACGTTTGATTTGCTCTCTATGCCATACCTTTTTGTTTGATGATAAGTTTTTTATGTTCATACGTCAGTAGAAAAAAATGGTACCATTACACAACATGTGACAACTACATCTGAAATTGAAAAATTGTTTGAATAAATTTTACAAAGAGTACCTTATTACACGATGATAGATTGACAGTGATATTAATACATTAAAATTTCTTTTCACCTTTTTCCTGATTCCCCTTACCAGAATACAATATCTTGCTTGTTCAATGACAGTGTTTCTTCATAAACCATTTTGTAGATGACTTGATGTACATACTCGATTCTCAACCGGATAATCAATCAACCATTCTTCCTATTTCAGTTCTAAACATTGCAACTAAGTCTACGAGCAAGAATGCATTTGCAATAGACCTTATCTCAAAAAGGTATACAGGAGATATTGTTTCTTAAAAATTGTAAAAACAACTATTACTTAGATCTTTTCTAGATGCACTGAAGCTTGAAACATCTAAATCTAAAGGTTAGACTAGACTACAGCTCTACTTAATCTCATTTCTTGATATCAAGACTAGAGTTACATTGTACATCTTTATAAATTTTTGTTTCTTTTTGGTCTGTATTTTGTATTTTCATAGGACTTTTTACAGTCAATATTCTTTAAATATGTAATTGTTTTCAGTCTTAGAGTAGATCATCCTCTTGAACAAACATCACCTACTGCATAATATATTTTTTAACATTCTAGATCAAGATATCATTAGGCTCAATTAAATCGGAACTATTAAAAAAAGAAATTATGTGGAGATTATGGTCAAGTTCGCCTTCCAAATAAATTTGATAGTGACCTGGGCATCTTATGACATAGAGTACTTATATAGGAAGATGTGGCTATGTAGAATTACAGAGATTAGATTAGTGTGGATTAGATAAGTGTGGATTAGCTTAATCCTGAGCTGGTTGAGCCTCCTCTTCCACATCTCCGTTGATCTCCTCTCCTTCTTTCTGGATGACGATACGGGTGACCTGGAAGTCAGGGTTCTGAAGCTGCTCCTCGGCTAGAGTCTCCGCTAACAGCTGATTAACAAATTGAAAAATGAGATAAACAGAAGAATAGATATTAGGAGGGTATTCCAGAAAGAAAAACGGGATATTGACTGTTGAGAGCCGCAAGTACATTAACTCATAGGTCCATATTTTTCTAATTCAGTCAAACCAGACCCTGGTGTCAAGATCAAGCTTATCAAAGGTAAACTTAGATATCAAACTACCTTCTTTTGTTTAACCCCCATTTCACAAAACTTGTCATCAGTGACAAATGACAGTCTTTGTTATAAGCTACTGAAATCATTGCTTTTGATTGGTTACCAGCAGATTTGTCACTGATTTTTGTCATTTGTCATTGAAAAAAGGCTTTGTGAAACAGGTCCCAGGTTTTGAATACAAGTTTAAGCCCTGCATCGGATTTTAATTTTAGTACGTGTAGAATACAGGCAGCAAACTGTAACAGAGAGTCAATGCCTATTTGGCTCTAAAAAGATAGTACCATGAACCTAGTATTCAATCACTAACATGCAGATTGATGCTGGATTTAATTAGATCTTTTCTAAATGCAATATTTAAAGAGAAATATCGATAAAATTGAAGTTGCCAAATCTGTGGAGGATACAAATTACAGTACTTCCAGGCTGTGATCATCAACAACAAAAATTCTCGTAAAACAAAGATATGGGAATTGACTATAAAAAAGGTGACCTATTCATGTCAAGGTACACCTTGTCTTTGCCGAAGCAAGTAGAATTTCCACACTGAAAGATGGAAGCACAGTCAAATTCAAAAATGCATGTATTTATTATTGAGGTTTCAGTGATACAAAGGCGTCACTCCATATTTTGCCAAAATCAGTCTCTGATATCAAAATGTTCAGAAAAATGTGGGCTTTCTAGGAAACACAAAGACTTAACTCTACCCAACACCCCATTGAAGTCAATGACTAGAGAAACATAGACTCAACTCCTTAAGGCCCAAGTGGACCTCTATCTATAAACCACTTCTTCTCAAAATGGCTAAAATGGAGTTACACATCTTTGTGTCACTGACCGCTCGATATGTTCTTGCTCTGAACAGATGAACTATATCTCATCAAAAGAAACTCATTATAGGTTTGGTTATGAGATAAGTTATGTAAGCTGCATGTAAGCAAGATGGCGACAATTCAAAACACAAACACACATGCTAGCTACAGGCAAGACATTACAATACAAACACTTTATGCATACAATGTCATCCTATCACTCAAAAAGGCCTCCGTACACAATATGACAAGTAACTTGCAAAAGCTGCCAGTAACACATGATGGTGCCTAAATGCTATGAGGAATCAGTGTTATATGCTTCCAAATTAACATTTGGTCCGCAAAAAGTGACCAAGAATATTGCTTAATATTGCAGGATATTGTAAATATCTTGCATAAATTTGCAGGATTTATGCAGGTTTTAAGAGTCCTAATGTAAGGAAGCCTTTGAGCTTTCAACAACAAAAAACCTTGATTAATTCTGCGTTTGATGCTATTATTTTTGTATATAACTGAATTAGTCATTATAAATTTGCAGATGCATTTGCTTTCAATGTTACTAAAAAAGAAAGTTAACCTAATTAACAAGTAGAAATATCATTACCACAAATGCAAAAGATTTGTACTTTTGATCACAATGCAAAAATAAGAGTGGAACAATTGCAGCCAACGTTAAAACTCCTGTCTTAAATCTTGAACTTTGTAAACCAGTAACACATCAACTCACATTTGATGAATCCCAGAGTCTGATAATAAATCTTATCTCAAATCACAACAAGGCAATACTTCAAATATAACTCCAAATCAGCCATGCCTAGGTCCCACCAAAACCTTTTCATTTCAATATCAGTTCAATGCATGCGTTTCCCACTACCCTACCATGCCTCCGTGGTTTGAAATATGCATTTCAATTTCAATGTCACTTCATACTGTCTCGATGCCGGTTCGATGTGGAGAAACAGAGTGGAAATGCAGCTGGAGATTTGAAAATCTGAACATGTCTCAACTTTTCTTGGGCCTTTCGTTGTTGATCCGTTTCCCCTTTACACATGGGAAACGCAGCATAGCTATACCAATGTCTGTTTAGATCCAATTCAAATCATGATTTCCAGGATCAATGTCGGCTGTTTCTCTGGTTCTTGCATCGATATTGAAACGCATGGGCTCAAAGCAATTGGTGTGACCTAAGCATAACATTCAAGGGTGCTTTAGTCAATTTATCTCCGGGTAAATGTATTCCCCTGTTCATTCCTAATCACAAAGATTCATGCACGAACACTCCCTGTGACTCTTCCAAATTATACATCCCTCACAACACTAGAGCCCGTTGCACAAAAACTTTCCATTGGGGGTATCTTTGCCATCAATGGTAACTTCCATGGTAACATTGCTCAACAGCCAATCAAAATCAAGGTTACCATTGATTGCAAAGTTACCATCCATGGTAACTTTTGGGCAACAGGGCCCTGGTCTTCAGGAGAGTTTGAGATAAAATATTTTCCTGGAAAAAATCTGCTCACTTACAAAATGGTAAAACTTGACACACACATGCATTCTAATCATACTTTCTTCCGTTATTAGCAAAACAAATTTCGTCTTTCCTCGGATGTTCAGTACAAAGATACAATTTCTTTTAGTTGTGCGCTATACTATTACTTGTACATATAATGAGCAATTTCAGTTTTGTAAACAAGCATTGTGTTGCATTATCAGCAAAAAATATTAGGAATCGGCTCACGTGGCTATCAAATTTCGTCTTGACTTGCATGCTTTGATAATTCGTTGCTTAGTTAATTTTGTAGAAAAAGTCAAGAAAATGGGTGAATAGTACACACAGACACATCAAATCAAATAGTCTGTTGAAAGCCGAAAGGTGCGGACTCTTTCAATAGTGAATGAGTCAACACCCTCCTGGCTCCAAACAAACAACATCAGTTGTTGTATTCTAGCACTTCATTAATACGTTGGTAGATACTGCAACTTCCAAATATTAGCAATTCTATCAAGTTATCTTAGGTTATTCCAAGCTATAAAATATTAGACGTACATCAATGTTGTGCCACTTACAAAATGCAGTTAAATGAACATGGTTTACAGGCACTATGTTTCCCCATTCACTGAAGGGTTTAACTCATATTATATTGTGGCTTGGGTTGAAATTTTGTTATATTTTTTTAAAGAACATCTTGCCATCCTTTTGATTGGATAATCAATGTTGAGTGATGGAAGGATTTAATTCACATACATCAAGCATTAAACGTGGTAACGTGGCAAATTCACAATATTATTTAAATTTGATTTCTTTCACTTTAACAATTGTACCGAGTATTTTTCACGTCCTGATAGATAACTTTTAGTTGGAATAATTATAGGATATATTAAACATTGGAAGAAAAATATTAATATTACCAATTTGTAGATAAGATGAGAAGAGATGCACACAAAATATTAATCCTCTTGTAATTCAACATCCTTGATAGATTACAATGAAATATAAACACTATCTCTGTCATTTGCAAAATGCAGTCAGTCACAGGCACTTAACTTTCTCATCATTCTCTACGTCTTCTTCTACACTAGACCTGTAGGGAAATCATTATCAAGATGCACTCAGGCGGTGTATCTAGGTAATGTACACTATTATTATTACTCAAGTCAGGCTCTTACTACCTTTTAGCGCTGATATCGCCGTCCAGAGGTCAACTTTCTAGACCTCTGTGTCTGTATCGGCAGGGGCCTGAATTAAAACACACAGTATACAAGATAAAATCAAGGCCCTACTGTTAAGGTCTCATTCGCTGACAGCCAAAAGGACACAAACTCATGTAATGCCCTTCTTCCTTTCATGACGTAAGTTACGAGTATACAAATAAAACACAAATTTTTACTAATGACCGGTCATTAGCGTTTTATAATGACTGGTCATTATCAAAATTACCGATTGTTTGATTAAGATCCACGTCATCATCTAATAATATAGAATAATTCAGGCAATGAAATAGTCATAATGCAGGCTCCTTCTAGCATCCATATTAATTATCTACACAGACCTCTGAAACATTATGGCCTGTATGGGCCAGTTTCATAACACCTAGTACAAGGTTTAAATCGCGACCGTGCTGCTAACATTCTTGTTACACGTAAACAAACACTTTCGAAAACACGACTCACTTGCAGCTTTTCCGCGAGTTGCAGATTTGCGTAAGATACATGTCACATAATTACACAGCACAAATTTTTCAAATTTGCCAAGAGCTTCCAGGTAAAAAGTTTCTGGTATTAGAAGAAGCCACTTCAAAGGTGTTTCAAAGACTTTGGTACAACAATGTCTACATGCCTACATCTCAAGTTATGGTGCTGACACATTTTTCTCACATAAAGGGATCATGGAAACAGGAGAGGTAATTTTCCTATTTTTCAAGCCTTTCAGCAACTTCCCTATTTTTTCCCCCCAGAATTTGGCTTGATACCCCAAAGTACTTTTCCCAACATAAAGCAGATACAAAGAATAATAGTGAAGAGAAATTAGCAAGAATGACAGAAATATTAACAACATTGCCATAAAATACATTGTTCTATATATTGTGCTACAGTTAGTGTATGCAGTAAACGGCAGGTTTCCATAGTTTTATTAACTTTGCTGCTTCTAACAGCCTCACAGTATAATTTAGTTACAAGGGGGGAAAAAGGAAAAGAAAAAAACCCAAGATTCTCTTTCAGAAAAGTAAAGCAACAGTGCGAAAATCAGAGCTTTAATATAAAGCTTCCCTGCCATATTTGAATGTTTTATAAACCCTTTGCACACCAATTTTAAAATTTCTAATAGTTTTTTAAATGTGTTTAAGAAGAAGATAATGTTGAATTTATGAGTTTAAACTAAGGTCCTACATTTAATCAACTTTTAGTTGAAAAAAAATTAAATTATTTAAGTGTGCAGAAATCTTTTTTACACAAAACCGTGTAAATTTCACCCGAAATGCATATTGCTCACTCTGGCTACATAGAAATATGTCTTAATCAGCCAAGACACTTACTGAATATAAAAATCATATTAGGGGTGCAGGGAAGATAAATTTCACTACGTTATTGCGTCTTCTTTTATGTTATCCTAATGGCTAAGTAATGCCTTGAATTAATTTAGCCAATCATAGTCAAATATCCCCCCCCCCCACCAAAATAAAAAGTTAAAACATATATGTAAGAAGCTGGACAAGGCTCTGAGCATTACTATATGATAATAATGAATAATTGAAATATCACCTTTAATTAGCTTCTATCATTCCTTCATGGATGTTTATTAGTGATCGGTTTCAATTGCATGAATTACATGCGCAAACGCTATTAAGTATAAGCACTATTAAGTATAAACACATTCATGTAGATTATACATGTACATGGAGATTAAGTATATGCATGTAGATAAGTATTTATTATGCACTCTATTAAGATGACTTTATTATAATTATTACCATAATTTCATAAATGAACAATGTACAATGCTTTATATAGCACTAATGGGTATGGGCTGCAATGGAAATTTATAAAAGCACTTTGGGTAATTTTGGAATTTTGGAATTTGGGGGCTGTGTTTCCCAACACCTATGCAAGTTAATACAGTGGTGCACTCAATGCAATTTATACATGTAATCATTTGTAAAGAGAGAAGCAAGCTTTCTTTGTAGTATATTTCTCTGAGATTAAGCACTGCAATTGAGATAACGAGAATTAAAATTTGTTTACAAGTGCAAACTATCTTCTTTAAACTTCAACTAATCCCTCCTGTAAATGGGCAGCAAATATATGTGTTTTTTTTATTTTATTGAACTCTACATGGAAGATTCACCTTTGATGGAATCAATAGAACAAATAGGCAGATAAACTATTCATAATAAGGCTATTTTGTTCATTCTAAAAATGGAAGATTTATAACTTGGAGAATTGAACCTGGTATGACGAAACAAGCGCTTTTGGTCTGTATTCTACTAATTCACTTACACTTAACCCTGGGTCTACAAATCACTTTGAACTAAAGGAAAAACTTAAACTCAGAATTACTTCCTTTATTGAACCTGATTTTTAAAGACCCTATCCAAATAATATTCAAACTTTATATCAATGGAAAGCTGAATTAATGTAGAACACAAATATAGAGGAATAACAAAATATTTTCTGTTTTAGTATCGCACAAAAGCAAATAAAAAATCTCATTTTCTGTACCCTCCAAATTACGGGTCAACAGGGGTCAAATTTGCTGCAGTTATGGTGACATTTTGTGCAGCCGATTGGCGATGAGCCCTGCATAATTAATGACAAGTCATTGTGAATATACGTACTCCGCATACGATGACGTCACCAAGTTGCTAGCTAGTTTTTAGGTCGACAACTTCTGATTTTCAAAACATTAGATTTTGACTTTTCAGAGAGTTGTTTTCTCCTCTGACAGACACTAAAATATCACATAACTGATATTATTGAAATTTATAAGCTTTCCGTCGATATGCAATTCATATATTTCATTTTTCACTTCGGACAGAGTCTTTGACAAAAGCCTTAACCCAGTGTCAGGTCTAACTTTGAGTAGAATACAAGCCCGTGGGTCTTTGAGGATCACCGGTAGGAGGGATGAAGAATGGGGAGGGGGTAGAGAGGGGATAGGAAGGATGGAGGATGCATAGCAACAAGGAGTAAGCCTAGAATGAAGATGATGAATGACTTACAGCTCGTACTTGGGCTTCCGTCATCTCCTGAGAAAGAAGCAAAAACATCTCAACTCACAAAAACTGTGTTTTCTTATCTTATTTAAGACTTTCACTGGAACGCCTGGTTGTTTCTATCTCAATAATCTCTCCACTAACCTTCATAACATACATGTATATAGAATATCATATTGTTAGTATTCAGCCATCCTGCTTTCAAGCCCTACTGCACTAATTATAGCTACTTGCTCCCTCTATATAGCAAACAATGCCTAATCGGTGACCATTGGTCCCCCCATGGTCCCCTTTTTCTTATGTTAATAGAGAGCTGATTTGATGAGATAATCACCAGTCAGTGACCATGCAGGGAGGTCTAATCCCTCATGGGCAAACTAGTGCAGAGGGGCTTAAAGACATTAATAGTCATCATAATGATCTCTTTAATCTATAACTATCAGTATCGCAATCTACATATTACAAGGGATAATCTGTGCATCAATATGACTAGGGAACTGTAACTTTGAGATTTCCTGACTTGACTCACAGAGTCTTTCACTTAATGACTTTACATTGCTAGATAATATAATATGCCATAATCATTCCTGTATAGTCCAACTGACTTTAAAAGGTGTGCAGGTGTGCATGGCCATGGGACCTACTCTTTCAAAGGAAGTGCAGGTGGGCTAGATGCATACAGAGGGGTTCTGGATTTCATTTTCACACAAAATTATTATTTTGATGGAGGGATGAATGGATTTCAAACATTCCTTTTCATAGCTTGATGAGCTACTCCATGCATGACAGTGCATCAGTATACATGTATCTCTGTGTTTTAAAAACTAACAGATCTTATTTATACCGGTACTCAAATTTCTCATCTGTAGAGGTCAAATTGTGAACATCGCAATTTAAAACAAAATGAGCACAGGAATTAATTTTCCTCAAATTTTTTGATTAGCAATTTCAGCCGATGGATAAATATTTCAAATGAAATTCTGTACATTTCTATGGAAGAAAACTGCTACACAAAAGATATTTTGTATAGCAGTCATGCAAAAATGCATAGCAAATTGCGATGCGATACCAGGAAAATTATTCCCTGGAGCACTCTCTTTCCGAATTTCAAAAGAAATCTCTAGATAGCGATATAACCACAGGAAATCACAGTACGGTAGGTTTGAGATCTTTTTTGAAAGAAACATGTAAAAAGATCATAGTGTATTTGCAATTTTTGTAATTAATGTAAACATTAATACTACATGTTTGTGTTGATGTAACAAATATATCACTTCTATTTTAGCTCTAGCATTAATATGACACTAAAGTCTCACACATAACATAACTCAATAGTTTGCAACAGGTTATTAAGATAGACATGTAGAGATTCATAATAGGTACGCTTTACGGGACTGATGTTTACCTAAACAATCAGACTAGGTATACACAGTCAGTTCTAGTTAAATGCCCAAAATACATCCAACAACAGGCAATGCTACACATATGCTTTCTTTCTGGATGGTCTGGACCATATTTTGAGGTCAGCTCACACCAGACCCACATCAAAATAATGGCATTTAAGGGGTCCACTTATACCAGACCCCAGTTAGTGTTGATACCTGCTCAGGGGAGTGTTTCACAAAGCCACATTCATGCCACTGTTTGCTCTTACCATTATGATCTTTAGATAATATTTTCCCCTTCAATAATGACCTATCAAAAATTTGTGACCATGATTTGTACATCCCTTGAGAGACCAATGCTAGAAAATCGTGAGATAAAACAGTGGCATGAAAGACCTGCCACAGTTAAGTCCAACTTAAAGTCGATCTTAGTCTTTGTAAAACACCCCCCAGGAGTATTATGTTCAGGATTAAATGCATTCTAAACCAACAGATCAAAACCTTGAATAAAACATATTCTTCAAGTACAGGTGTATGTACAACAGGGCATCCTAAGACTATACAGCACATATTTCTATTGAGAATAGTCTATCCTTCTTCACAAGACACAACATAGGACATACTACAAAGAGCATCGGACAAGCTTTCACATACTACACTGTTGTCAGTTGAAGCATTGGACATATAAAGCCAGGCATGAATGATGTTGGACGGTAGCTTTCAAGCAATCTGCTTACAATGACATTCCTTCTTCCGCAAATAATTTCATGATTGATGAAATTAGTATTTAAGACATTTTATCATTTCATTTTTTAAAATAAAAATTGTTATATATATTTGCTTATTTATGACCCTCTGTCAGAAAAATACTTATTGTATTTGATATCAATACTGTTGTCGAAAAACTGTGTACTTTTATGAATGCAGAAGAAAATCAATTCAAATCAAATCAAATATTACAATATAGTTTGCTAAGAGTGAGAGATATGTAAACTTGTACCATTTTACACAATTAAGGCTGGTTCAGACATGGTGGAGTAAATCGGCGAGTATGCAATGTTTTTTTTAGATGTGTAAAATGAACGGCTACTGCGCGTAACAAAGGATGTGCACGTATTCACTGAGCTCTGTGTTATGAGGTTCATAAACATGAAACGTATCACACTATAGAACTGCTGTGGTTTTGCCTCATCATATCTGAACAAGCCTTAATATTCCTTCTGACTATCAGCAGACACTAAACTGTTTACTGGTAAAACCCCTTTGTTGGCCGCAAATTGTATATGACTTTGGAGGAAATGCATCAAGTCTTTGCTGTTTGGAGCATCTATGTATACATAGAATCAAAATGTTTTGATAAATGTCCACTTATTGGCTTCGGGAGGATATTAAAGGAAAATATTTAAAACCAAACCTGATGGCATCAATTTAAGGTGCTTATGAAGTCAGAAGATAAGAATGAATTCTGAAACACATATGAATATAAGGTGCTTATGAAGATAATCAATTCTGAGACACCAATGAATATTATCAACAATATGGATCACTGTTTCGATGCTTAGAGGAGACAAGTTTATAGCCATGCTGTGAATGCTAGAAGCCATTCGTTGCTGCAATCTAGGCATTAGTGAAATGAGCAGCCATACTCCAACCATTTTGGACAAAAAGCTATGGAAAAAAGGTCATGACTACATCCCATCTGGATATCACAATACTACTTAAAGATCTGACTTTTTTTTTATGTCAGATTAATATCTCAATTTCATTTCACATTTTTTTTTTTTTTTTTTTTTGGGGGGGGGGGGGGGAATTATTTCAATAGACATCCACCCCCTTTTTAAAATAAATATTTATAAGGAGTGATCCATAGCTGCAAGTGATAAGAAAGGCATTTAAAGGAAAATATGTTGTGAAATTTTACAGGTGTGGTTTATCATGATCAAAAGTGGAAATGATGGACAGAAGATAGAAAAGAAAATTTGGTTCATTTCTACATTAGAACGTTATCTGGTCATTGATTAATAAAGTTGCATTCATCTAATCTCATAGATTCAGTTCAACATATTTTTTGTTCTGGCATGATAAATGAGAGACAAATGCTTGTCTCAAGGGATTTAAGTTACTACAGTGGATAACTTCCTGTGGCAAATGACACACAAAGACCATTTGTGATTTTCATTCTATGAGGAGGGATTCCATATCAAGCCTGTTTGTAAGAGGACTATAAGCAGGGGTAGAAGAATAAGAAGTGATTATGATACCTTATCATGATCTAAGTCACCGTCCGCCTGGATGACAATCTTCTTCTCAACTCTCGTCTCAGTCAGCTCACCCTTTACAGTCTAGACAATGAGAAGGAAAAACAAAACATAAGCAACGTGTAAAGGTTATCAAATGGTGAGATCTTAATACTTGTGCTATTTCAACTGGAGTCTCTACATCAGTTTAATAACTTATACATATCATCATCATCATCATCCTTATCAATAGCCATCTTGTCATTTTCATGCTCTTATCTCTCAATGTTTTAATCATTCTTGAAGTATCAAAATTAGCTTTAAATTTGCCATTATCCTTCATGTATGTTACCATTTCATTTTCATGTCACCATTTACTACAACCACCATCATCATCTTCACTACCACCACCACTAAAACCATATCCATCTTCATCATCATAATCAGTGCCATCATCACCAGTCACCAGGGAATAATTTTCCTGGTATCGCATCGCAATTTGCAATGCATTTTTGCATGACTGCTATACAAAATATTGTTTGTGTAGCAGTTTTCTTCCATAGAAATGTACAGAATTTCATTTGAAATATTTATCCATCAGCTGAAATTGCTAATCAAAATATTTGAGGAAAATTATTCCCTGCCAGTCACCATCACCTCCATCATCATTATCACCACTTCCCATCTCTATCTCGAATACGGACGAGAATGGGGCGGTGTAAGGCCAACATGGCGAGATGGGGCTATGCCCATGAAGAAGATATTCTCTCCGACTGCGGAGAGACTCAGACAATGGACCACATCTTGCAGGGCGGCGGAACGGGTTGCACAGATGAAGACCTGGCCCTTGTAAATGAGACGGCCATCGCAGCCATCGTGCAAATGAAGAACTGAATTTAAATGAATTATCTAGGAACTTTACATTAATCTTCATCTAAGGAGACACGAACGAAACGATCTCTACCCACTCACCTTGGTAATATGAGTGGTTGTAGTCATTGACCTTGTCTCACTCGTCATGGTCTGGGCGCTGATCATAATCATAACCAGAGCCGTCATCACCAGTCACCATCACCTCCATCATCATAACCATCACAATCATCATCATCACCACCATCATCACCTCCATCATCATCATCATCACCACTTCCCATCTCTATCCTCTCACCTTGGTAATATGAGTGGTTGTAGTCATTGTCCTCGTCTCGCTCATCATGGTCTGGGCGCTGATCATAATCATAATCAGAGCCGTCATCACCAGTCACCATCACCTCCATCATCATAACCATCACAATCATCATCATCATCACCACCACCATCATCATCATCATCATCATCATCACCACTTCCCATCTCTCTACCCACTCACCTTGGTAATATGAGTGGTTGTAGTCATTGACCCGGTCTAACTCGTCATGGTCTGGGTGCTGATCATAATCATAATCAGAGCCGTCATCACCAGTCACCATCACCTTCATCATCATAACCATCACAATCATCATCATCACCACTATCGTCACCTCTATCATCATCACCACTTCCCATCTCTACCCACTCACCTTGGTAATATGAGTGGTTGTAGTCATTGACCTCGTCTCGCTCGTCATGGTCTGGGCGCTGATCAGGGTTCCCGGATCCTCGTCGCCGTCCACCGCATCCTCCGGGTCCTTCTCGTAGGTGATGGTGGTGTTCTCCGTCTTGACGTACGGCACGTCCCTGGTGAGCTTGGAGTCGTCTTCGGAGCTCTGCTGCTGCTGGACCAGCATGGCCGTCTTGACGAACGGTGAGACCTCGTCTTCGACGTCGGGCTGGGCAGCGGCCATCATCTCCTCTTCTTCCTCATCCTGTAGTGAGCAAACATAGCAGTATGTCAGCATCACTCTATTCATTATCATATCCTGCTTGGCTTATAAACAGGGATGCACGTTTTCAGGGAATACCGTAGTCTGAATTCAGGCTCTGGCGACTTATTTTCAGACCATAGTTTAGGCTTTTTGTGTACAAAATAGCTCATTACAGGTGATTTTCAGGCCCTCTGATCAATTCTAACTGGCATTCCTGTTACAAAGTAATGTGAAGATGGACATATCGCGAAAAATATGATTTTAATTGATGGCTAAAGAATTATTTCCTCAGTTTTGTATCCTCTCTACGATATACTTGTCTACAGTTATCAAATGAACTGCCACCCTCAAATCATGATTTAATTCCTATAAATGTACTAATGATTCTTAATTCCTAACCCAGTTGATAATGTCCAAGAAAATGTTTACAAGTATCTGAAGTTACCATACATTTAAGCCTGTATACATCTCCTCTAAGCCTAGCGGATCATCCTTTATCCTATCTTATATCTTGATTATTCCACGTCTACTAGCAATTTTCTTGAAAATATTTAAAGTCATCAGGCACAGAGTCAATAATTCAAGAGAGTTTATCAATACAGCAGGACCAATCATCGGACGTTGTATATAACACCTTCACTCATGGTCATGAATGGTATGAAAGATGAAGGCTTAATGGAGGTGAATAATGATCTTGCAAAATATATCAGAAAGTTCCTTCATTACATGGTCACCAATCACCTTCCTTCTAATTTCATTCATGAATATTCAGGACAAATACATAACCATTCATGAACTTTATTATCTCATCCACTGCAATTTTCAATCACATGATAAATCTGTGGTATTTTGAAGGAGGGGGAAATATTTCTAAAAATTATTTTCATGGATAACACACTACACACTGCACGCAAGGAAACAATCATTCAATAAAATTTGTCAAAATATAAACACGTAGAAATTACCGTTGAACAAGTACTCTGTTAAAGTAAATTACACATGGAACCAGAACAAAAAATATGGAAGAATTAGATGTCATTATTGCATTCATATGAGCACTGCTCCGAGATGAGGTAAACTAAAGAACTGCAAATAATTATTGTCATTAGTATCATCATTGATCAAGTTTAAGGTTCGTTTTAGTTTCACTGAATCCACCTCTGCACCCTGTGATAAGATGAAGAATAAGTAAAATGAGAATGAGTTATGAAATGCAGTTAGAAAACCCCAAATACAGACACACAATGAGAGCGAGAGAATGAGAGACCATGCGTGAGGTTTGTAAGCATCTCAAACCTCTTCTTCTTCCTCCTCCTCCTGCTCCTCCCCATCACCAAGGCGGATTACCATGGCAACCTCCCCTCCTACACCACGGTCGGGGGTCGATTCAACCCCACTAACTTCCATTCTAGCGACCTCTTCCTCCACAACCGGTTCCTGCTGGTTGGATTCAGTCTCTTTGACTGGTTCGGGCTGGTCAGAACCGGACTGGACTGGTTCTGGCTGGTATGTACGGGCAAGGAGAGGAGAATCATCAGGTGAATCATCTTTGACCTCTTCGGCTTTGGGTTGACCCGGTTCCTGCTGGTCAAAGTCAATCTCCTTGACCGGTTCAAACTGGTCAGAACCGGCCAAGACTGGCTCTGGTGAGTCATCTCTGACCCTGTCTGGGGTCAAGTCCTCCTCCTCATGGGTCATTTGTTGAGGAGATTGGTCTGGAATGACCTGATCAGCTTCAGGCTGCTGTGAAGGTCAATGTTATAGATAGTGACTAGTTAAGAGTGCCAATAGCAAAGTAGGAGCCATTAAATCAAACACCTCTTCAAATGCCATATCACTCTTATGCATGCTCAGATTTTATTCTATATTTATTCAGCCTTGCTTTTCTAAATTCTATGGTGGTTTCTTAAACACTGGTCTTCTTTTTTTCTGAAAATATTATTGAGCATGTGGTCTGGACCATCTTTGATCTCAATGATGACTCTATGATGACTCTTTTTTTTAATGACACAAACTTGAAGCATGACAAACATTTAAGATTTCTCTCTGAGACATCTCTTAAGTAGGCGACATAATTTATTGGCATTTGAAGTGGCATAACTGCTGATATATCTGGCTCCAACTTTGCTGTTTACCAATAAGTGCTGTTATTCAATCATAATTAATCCCACCTGGTTAGAAAGATTAGGATTACAACTTGTTTAACTCAGAAGTTATCATAATTGAGTAACCACATATGTATCCATGGATAAAATTGCCAACACCTATATTTACTTTAAATTTCTTCTGAAAGTATACTTCTGAAATAGAACTGATTTTTATTTTTAAATTTTTGCAAAAATGTTATTATACATGTATGTACACATCATGATCTATCAAGTTTTATTCAGGAATACAGAATATAAGAAAAAATTAATATGTAACTACATGAAGTGTAAATAAAACATATGTACCATTAAACGAATATTCATTAGGTTAATAATTGTAGTATATAGTATCAAGATAAATATAGAGGTATATACATGTAGGTAAATACACCATTAAAGCTAGAATAGATGGAAAGATATGATAATTAAGTAATACTGGAATGCTACAATGGTGCGCTATTAGAAATAATAAAGAATGTTGTATAAATGGGGAACGCTGAAAGTCTATAATGGAGAGCTGTTTAAATAAATTGAAGCAAATCAAAAGAAATTAGAAAATGATGCCATGTCAATGAAGTCCTGGATCCCAGACTAAATAAAGCTATCAACCTGCTTGAGTAATACATGAGAATGATGAGAAACAATGAAAATACAAAAAAAAATATAAAGAGATAAAAAAGAGAAGATTAGTCTCTTGGAAAAATCATGAAAATATTATCTGGATGACTATAGCCCTGCTGCCTTTAGGAACCCATCTTACTAGTACTATCATTTTTTTTATATAATTGAAAGAAATGAAATACCGTGATCAAGATCAATGAAAACAAACATATATTGTCAAAGCAGATTGCAATGTGAAATTTGCAAACAGCAGAACAAAATGGAAAAAAAATTATCAGAAAGTTAATTTCTACACACACAAAGAAAAACAATCTAAATTGTAATCTACTGTGTGCACTGTAGTGTGCTTAGCTTTCCAATAATTTAATTAGAAGACTTTATTTTACTCAATAGTTCTGATACAGGATGGTAATACATCTAAATTTTTAAAGCAAGGAAATGAACAGAAAGCTGCATTAATATTCTGCTATGCCGTACATTCTGTTACACATGTTGTGATTTACATAGGGATAGTCCGATATTTGACATCAAGGAATATAATTTGGTTTACATAAATGTAGAAAGAAAGAGAGCTTTACAGTTAGTGAAGTTTGGTTTCAGATGAAGAATTTGTCAGAAAGTGAAAAAGCAACTATAAAGTTATTAATTGGGTTTTGCTCAATATTTAAGGTGGATATAAACTTCTTCATAATCGGGTTACACAATATCTTCAGAATTTTATACATTTTTACCCTATGTTTGGCTTTGGAAAGAGGCTTAGAAAATGGAGATGTTTTAGAATTTCTGCACTAGTGATGGATTATGATAATATGAGATATCAGTACAATGGTACAATTTCACAATAAGATTGATGAATCAGTAACAAAAATTACATTTAAAATGAAGACACACACAACCAACGCCTTGAATTTTTTGTTAAATGTTTTGCTTCAACATCAATCTGTCTTTGAAAAAATTTAGGGGAGTTGTGCCAATATCTTACAGCAAATCATTTTTCTCAAAGGAAACATTGGTAAACCAAAATGAAACCTCCCTTTTTTGGCTCTTTTCATAAAGATTCAACTCATGTTTATTTTTTGAAATAGGATATAAAGATACATTTACTCTTTGAATATTAGCAATGGTTATTTAAAGATACTATGTCCCATTTGCAGGCCCAAAAAATGAAAAGATTAAATTCCAACGGCATTTGAAAGATAATACTTATTTAGAACTTCCCAAAAAAAGGTAGGGCTTGAAAATGTCTTCAAGTGGGAAAATAACGACTATTAGTTGTCAAATCGACTAAGGAGCTATAGAGCCAATAAGTAATAGTCTTCATTTCCAGACCATTGTACCGAATGGTCATACGTTTTATGCTGCACAAAAATTCAATCAGTTTAATTTTGGCCATCACAAGAAGTGGGTTATTGATGTAGACAAATGCTCATGTACCCTTTTAACAGCTCATTTTATGTATTTTATTACCAAAGAAAAAAAGCCAGTCAGTCACTCAATAGTGTCTGACAGTGAAGTCTAGCAAGTAAACGGGTTTCCTTGCATAATTTGAATATTAGGACACTGCTATCGTTTAAATTTCACAGATAGGACATACATGACATATTCATAATTCCTGCAAAGTTCTACAGAATTTGAGGTTGGCTGCAAAAGGGACATAGTACCTTTAAAGAGGACTGTTCATTAAAAAAAAAATTGTTAGATCAGAGAAAAAAGTCAGATTCCATAAAGGCGCATGGAAAACAGAACATTTTCTTTGTAATATTTTGGTACACAAATGATTAGCAACATGTCTTTTCAAACACAAAACCCATGGCTTTTTGTCTTGATGATTTTGTTAATAGAAAATAAATCATATCATCTTCTGAGAGGTAGAAGAACATTTAATCATATCCTTTCAAAGTGTAAACACCCTTCTTTCTCTCAAAAGACAATACAAGATAGATTATTGCATGATAGACCAGCAGTGGTTATGATTATAATATACATACATGTAGATAGATGGATACATATATACAATGTATATAAGAAGTTTGATAGTATATGTATGAAGAGAAAGCTCTAGGGCTTTTTTGATGAGGTTTCTACTGGTGCTGTGATGATGTCATAATACCTCATTAGGATATTCATCAGTGATGTATGTTTTGACGGTAGTGGTTGTAATAACCTCCGGTACCTCGTGGATGTGAAGCCGTGTTGGCTCACCTTCCAACAATAACACTGGGTGCTATGGAGATAAAACAAGGGATGCATGCTTTTAATCTCTTCCACTCATCTTGATATGGAGTTATGACAGGGTATCACTGGTTCTTTCAAATCTGCTGCCATACATGTATGTGTATCTGCTAATCTCTAGCAGGGCTTACCACTAATAGGTGCCTGGGACTCATTGGCGCCCCAAATCTAAGTCTGCACCCCCAAAATTTTAAAATTGTAAGATTGGGTTCATGCGTACAGACTCTAAAAAGTTCACTGCCGACCCCCTTCCAAAAAGTTTGTATGGAGCCCTGTCTATGATGGTGTTTTCAATATAGCCCTCTAAACAGTCGTCTCTGTCTCTCTGTCTCTCTGTCCCTCCTCCCCTCTCTTGCTTGCTCTGTTAATAAGATGTTGTTTGTTTGTTGTTGGGTTTGTTTTGTTTGTTCTTTTTTTTTTTTGGGGGGGGGAGTTGTGATGAAGCAAATTCATTGTCAACATTATCTGTAATTCTGTAAGCCACATACACTATAATATTCTTATCTACCAGTGTACAACATTATTCATACCATTTCTCTCGTAAACGATAGAGAGGTGACGAAATATGAACAACGAAATATGAACAAAGAAATTGACTTCTTGATGTGACAGCTTCATGTATCATTCTTAAACACACAAAAACTTCACAAACTCAACCCAACACTACAAACAAGAATTGCAAAAAAAGAACCAAACAAAATTAGACCAAAAATCATCAACAACTGATGTACATGAAACAAACAAGGAGAGAAAAATAAATCATCAGAAAAATTTGGGCTCCCTCATTAAAAATGAGGGAGAAGAAACTGCAATGATGAAGATGGTTAAAGATTAATAGATGATGCATGGCATGGTAGCAGAGTTAGTGTATGAAGATTACCTCATCCTCGTCTCCAAACGTTGTCTCCTGAACTGCATCACCATTCTATAGAAAACAGATTCACAAGATACAACACTTATATATATATATAGTCAAACCTGGTTTAGCTACCACCTGTCTACAAATACCACATTTTCTGTTTCCCTTGAAAATGGTTTTTCATTCAGACATGTACTAAAGGAACCCGTTTGTAAAGACCACCTGTCTGTAAAGACCACTTTTCTCTTCTCCCTCGGGTGGTCTTTATAGACAGGTTTCACTGTATATAAACTAAACAGTCTCACCAGATAAAAGAGAAAAAGACTTTTTCTTATTGTTTAAGTTCATCACATACATAAGACAAAGCAGTAACTTTTACAGTTGACTCTCAGAATGTCTTACCATTCTATAATACTGATACACAAGATACAACACAATACATATGAAGTCTTTTCAAAGGAACACAAGGTGTAACACTTGGGAATTTACTCTCTAAAAATCTTGACTTTTATAACATAGCTACATGTGCATAGATACGACTGTTACGTGTGCATGTGAAAATATCACCCAAATACACAAATAGAACATTTGAAAAAAAATGACTCTTTAAAAGTCTTAACCATTCTACACAAAATGAACACCAGACAGACTGATAGAGTTGTTAAAGATTAACCACTGATACAAAACTTAAAACTCTTCAATACAGATTCCAAAGACTTGAATGCCTAGAGAGAGAGTTGCCCACAAAATCACCAGTTGTTCTACACTTGTACATATATTTCTTACAGTGTAATCTTGTACTGCACAACAAAATAACATTTCCCTCGCACACTATGTGCATTATCACCTTTTCCTTTTTTTCAAAGATACAATCTACCTGAACAATTTCTATGAAAATAATTGAGTGGAAACAAATGCCCAGACCATCATCCACACTTCATTTCAAAATCACAACATATCAGACTGAGGCCCTTTCTACCATTGAAAAATAAAAGTGTTTACATCATAGCTCAACCAATTGAAATAGAAATAAAACTCCATAACCTGGTTTTGATTCTTCTTACCTGGTCGCCTGTTCTCTCTACTGTATACGTGGTCGTCTTGGTAGTGGTTACCGTGGTAACTTCTTTCTGGAAGGTACCCTCATCAGGATTCTCCTCGTCTCCCTCTGGCTGGCCGCTTGCCATGTTATCTGCTGACCTCTGCTGACCAAACAGAATTAATCTAAGATTAGTTCGTTGAATCATGATTAATTTCGCCCAGAATCACTTGTTCTCTTTTCTTTCTCATTTGCCATGTTCTATCTTGTTCATGATGATTGTTTGTGTCGGGTGCTGTCATGTGATTTCTGTTTTTGCAAAAGTATGCCTGGTTGCCATGTTATGAACCAAACAGAATTAATCTAGGATTAGTCTGTTGAATCATGAACTGGAAATAAGTATAAACATGTTTTCTTTTGTAAAATTTACTTGTGAAAACTAATTTGATGATAAATGACTTTTGTTTATATATGTCATATGTTGTGTATTGTAAACATGATATTATTAGTCTAAAGATTACTGTCTAGCAAACACTATTTCTTTCCTTTTTCTTTTTTATTATTTATGTATTTTGTTCTTTTCAAATCTGGGTAAATCAAAGGAACATCAAATAGGACTACTTGTTCTTTACTTGTATATGTAGTGTAGATGTAATTGTTAATAATATGTTGTTAAAAACTATATGAACATTTCTCACAACAAACTGACATTTAAAACAGAACTTGCATTTATTACCCACTCTCAAAAACCATGCAGACATCCTGAATATAATACTGTTTCACAGCAAGAATCTGTGCCCTGCTTGTCAAACGATAATTGTAATAGGCTACTGAAATCCTTGCATTTGATTGGCTGTGAGCAGCTTTGTCATATATCTGTGGGAGTTGTCATTGATAACAAGTTTTATGAAACAGGGCCCTAACCTACATTCCATTTTAGGTTTACAATCTTCACCATCTTTTTTCATTAGCAGTGTACATGTTCTGTTTACATTAAAAGTTGACATATTAATGCCAATTTATTTCATTAAAGACAGACAAAGCTCATCAGATTAGTTTCCATATCGATAATAATCAAATTGGTGTTATTCTAGATTAAATATATACATGTAATCCCTTATAGGATAGGTTTGTATAACAAAAACTGAAAGAAAAAGAAAAAGAAATGGAGCAAAGACTACAATAATTCAGACACAATGTGGTCAATCAATTAACCTCATCTTGCGTTCTACAATAAAGTTTCAAGGTCAAAATATTACCATCAGAGTATTAATGTCCTAAATTGCGTATTGCTACCAACACTTTGGTCACATACACAATGACAATGCAATGATATAAAAGAGTAAATTCTTTTTTAACACCTGGTAATTTAAAAAAAAAACCTTATAGGATGACCTGTACTACAATATCAATATCACTATAAAATGATAAGAAACGACACAGCAAATCATATATTTGGCATGCTAGAAAACAAGGGGGAAATCTGCATCAAACTCTCTCTTTTCAATGAGACCAGGAAATAATGCTTGCTGGAAAAAATAACAAAGATAGACAGATGGGAACATTATTACTTGAATAACACGAAATCCTTTCAGCAATAGGGTTGGTTGAAGCTGGCAAATTGACAAATATGCATACTTCGGAATCAAAATCAAAATCAAATCAACCGAAAATGACAAAGGTATACAAGGGAGGGACTGAATAATAAAATAACTTTTAAAAAAGAAGCATTACAATAATTTCTTTTTTCATTTTAAGAAAGAAAAGGTTACCATGAGAATAACGGACTGGAAGAAGTCCAAATCAAATCTTCAAATTGGCAATCAACATCACTAACATCATCATGCTACCATCATGCCGACTGGAATCCAAAAATGATAGAGGAGTTCATATTCACGACAGGTTTGCAGAAATGGTTGGTGGGTAAGGATCGACAGAGAAACAAGTGAATAGGGAATTTACGTTTAGGGGTAGAGGATGAAATAATACACAGGATGGTTGGTAGGGAGAGGAAAATAAGGGATTGGGAAAAGATGAAATCGTCATGAGTTGTAGGGAAAAATAAACAGGTCAGGAACATTGGTAGAAAGTGGAAACAGGGGAGGTGGAAGAAGGAAGGTGGAAGAAGGAAGGAGGAAGGGAAGGGGAAGGTGAAGGGGATTACAAACAGGCTCGCAGATAAGTGTAGATTGGTATACAGACATGGACAAGTGGATTGTTAATGCCATAATGTATTTACTTGTTGTAATGAGACAATATTTGTTAGATTGACAAGATCATTTAGAACTGAGGAAGGAATGAAGCAAGTGTCCTTTGGGGAGGAGCAGAAAGATATACCTCTACACTCAATGGTATGAAGAATTAACAATGTAATTTTCAAGATGAACAAAATCTATCTATTAAATCTCCCCAAAATCTTTAATCACGCGTATGTTTATGCTCAAGAGATTTCCAGAAAAGAACTATATATTGTACTTTCAACTGCATGCCCACAAGCAAACCTTGTTTAGGTGAGTTTGGGTGGGTATGTTGTGATTTTATTGCTGTATTTTGCCAGTGTTCACATTGTTTTTTTACAATGCAAAATAAATGAATTTAATTGAATTGGAATGTACAGCTAAACATATACACCAGTAGTGCAATTTGTAACTCCTAAATCTGAAATGCATCACTTCCTACTTGGGATAACACAAATCCATTTCCCCTTGCCTTATAAGATGGTTTAAAAGGGTAATCGTAAAAATTTATCCCTTAATTTTGAGCTTATAAAAGGATGAGCTTGAGAAGCAAGACTATATAGTCACACTTTTCTGGCAATGCTAAAGATTATATGCTCAAGCTTTATGAATTTGAAATAAAAAGCACTATGTGTAGAATTCTGATCACTCTTACACTACTACGGAACAAGACAAATTACATTTTATACGACGATTACTCAAAAGGCTCTCACAGCTGTATATGTACAGGGTAAAAAAATTGAATATAAAAAAAGAAAGAATAATACAGTAATCATAATACAAGACATGACCAACAGAACACAACATTGTACAGTTTTTTTTTTAAAAACACGACAATGGAAGATCAGACAGAAAGATGGAAAACAGTGTAAGGGATTGGAAGGACTGAATTGGATGGGGGAAAGGACAGAGAGGGAACGGAAACTGGAGTTCAAAATCAAATCGGAGAGAGAGAGAGAGAGAAGTGAGAGCGTGTTAGCCATGAACGATGCAAGTTAATTCAACAGACCGAGAAATAAGATAGCTTGATGTTTCGCACTTGTTGTGTTTCTCCGTCGTAATCTCCCTCATCGGAAGTCAAGTCCATCTCCTGCCATTACAATGGAATAGCCCAGCAGACCATGTTCATTATGTTCATGGGGGTGTTTCAATGTGAGAGGGGGTTAAATGGAAGCAAGAAAAGAGCGGTAAAGATTAGAAACGTCGGCTGCAAGAACAGGGGGGTGTTTCACAAAGATTAAAATCGACTTTAAGTTGGACTTAACTACGGCAGGCCCTTCATGCTGCCCTTTGCTCTCACCGTTTACTGGCATTGGTTCTCAAGGGAAGTACAAAGCATGGTCACAAATCTACAGAATTGATATTTTATGATAGCTCATTATTGAAGGAAAAAATATTATCTAAAGATCATAATTGAGAGACCAATGATAAGAGTAACTAGAGGCATGAATGGCCAGCCATAGTTAAGTCCAACTTAAAGTCAATATTAAGTCTTTTGTGAAACACTCCCGAGATGGAAACATCTTATTTACAGCAGCATGAAAACAAAACTTGCCTGTTTTTTGGTTTTTCTTCACATAAATATTTTGGCTGTATGCTGGGAATAAAGAAATGCTTATAGAGCAGTTTACAACAAAAAGGGAAGCCTAAATCAGGGATAAACAGAATCTGAATATGTGAATGTTGTTATATCCAATATACAGTGAAATTTCTGAATGTCCCCAAAGTTTCAAAACCACAAATCTATCAGTTAACATTAAAATACAATCCACAGCGACACTAGTGTTTAATCAATTTTGCGGCATTCATCATGAGAAAAAATTGACATCGTTTCAGCTGTGGCTTTGTTATATACCCTAGGAGACAAGGTGATTCTATAAGAACTTTTGGTAGGGAAGGTTTTATTAGCTTATCCTGGGTAAAAAATTGCGCCGATTTCAAAATATCTTACTGACCCTACTCATAACATTATGGTAACTTTGGCAGCATTATTGTCACTTTTGAAAAGGGGCTTTGTTTACAATCATTAGTTTCAGCTAAGGAGATTTGATGGGCTAATTCTATTTTTTAAATGTGCCCTGATGCTAGAAAAAGTGGTCAAATTGACCCCCATTAACAACATACGGTCATGAAGGCCTCACTGTAATTACATGTAGTCTTCTTAGAATGGTAATTTTAATATATGACAATGATTGATCATTTTCAGAATCAAATAACTAAATAACTTTTAACAATTTGTCATTTGCAATGAAATAAATAAGGAAAATAATACAAAGAGAGCAGGTTGAAGTTCAAAGCACTGTACTTTATGCCCAAGAAAAGACAAACAAATTTGAACTCAATAATATCAAAAGACCTTTGATCAAAATTTAGAGCTATCTGGAAAAGAAAATGTTCTCGTTTAAAGAAAAGGAGCAAATTTGTACATAGGATTATATATGAAAAGCAAACGCACTTGAAATATTTGAAAGTTACCAAGATTGCTCAACGAAAGGTTTTCCTAATACCCTTGACTGATCAAGAAATTATATGAATTGCATTCTATTCTGACAGGTAATATAGTAATTTATTTTAATCACTATCCCCCATTTAAATAGGAACTGATATGAAAATCAAAATTTCTGGATGTAATTTCTATCCATCTTTACAAATGTTTATACCATAGCTAATATCTATGTATATTTCACAAGTTGTGTCTCCCTTTATATATATACTTTTGGATTCAAGAGAATGAGTTTTCTTGTGCGTGGATATATTTAAACAATAATGACTGATACATTAAAAGAACAAAGATATTTAAACCTGTTTATCTGTCTAAAGTAATTTCTATGAGTATTTTACCATTGCTTGCAGGCTCCAAATAAGAAAGTTTACAATGAAAGATATTTAAAATCATCAAAACATGTATCAGAAAATTAACTGTTGATTAGCACGGCAAATCACTGTGAGAAAAGAGACACGCAAAACTCATGCTTCGCTTGATGGGAAAAGAAATTAACAAAACGAATCGTCTCTCAAAGACGAGATAAAATCATAAACTGAGAGCAAATGGAGGAAGAAATGGTCGGCAACAGAATTCTGATTGTCCATGCAGCGACGGATGGAAACCTTCATCAAACCAGAGACCCATGTTTTGTGTTTTGAAAATGTCAACCTCCTTTAATATTTCAACATTTCATTATTTAATTGAGCAAGCCAAAAATATCTGTTACTGATTATCATTTTTACATGGGCAAGATGCCAGTTACATTTTCTAAGTTAAAAAAATCAAACTTTGACAGAATCATAGCATTTAAATTATTCAAAAACTGTGCCTTTTCTGTTTTGATTCAAATTTCTTCCCTTTTTTTAGTCCCTGATTTTTTCTTTATTTTTCCTTCTTATGGCACTGATAAATTTCAACATGATTAACTCCACGTCAAAAGGTATTATCAAATAGTTTTTCGAAAAAATTCAGACAGTTATAGATCAATTAGTCTTTGAATTGATTCAGCAGTTTGGCTAAGCATTATCTGTATGTGCCTCTTGATTTGGCAAAAGATTTATTTGAATTTTTGTATTTTATCATTTTTTGATCCTGTGTCGCAAATTTCCGATAACTGAATCATTCTAAGGAATATAGAGCAGACTCATTCGAGTGTGGGACGGTAGCACTCTGCAACTGACAACAAAACATGGGCCCCGGTTCAACGCAACACAGAATGGCGTTCGTTCCCGGGGGGCACATACCGCATCGCGACTCCCGTCCTCGGAGTCGAGTCGCTGTGATTTCTCCACGAGTGAATTGCATTGAATGGTGAGGGGAGGAGAAACGACGTGTTTGTGAGTGTGGTAGAGATAGAGAGAGAGAGAGTGAGAGTGAGAGGGTGAGAGAGAGAGAGGGGTGAGAGGGAGAGAGAGAGAGAGAGTCGGGCCAGGAATGTTTGAAATTAATCGAGAGAGAAGGAAGAAGACAACAATTTGTCTAATCTACCCAGTGACTGGCAGACTAAGGCTATATGATTTGTAGGGTGTGACAAATGTTCAGTTTCCATCTAGAAAAAAGTCACTTCTGTTCTATTCTATAGAGCACACTCGAATTTGTTATGGAAAATGTAATGATATCAGTCCAGTTAACCATTCAAACACCATGCCTTAACAAGACTGAGTAATCTACCATGGCACTATCCTATATACAATCCATTCCAAACACGTTCCTATTTTTCATTTCTAGTTGCAAACAGCATGCAAGAATTCTAGCTTGCAGTAATATTATATCCATGCCAGTAATTCATGAATTCCAAAATAGTCACAGCAATATCTGATCAACCCAATCTACACAAATGTTCTATCGATATTCAAAAGTGCTGAGAGAAAAGTCTACAATGCAGAACAGTTTAACTGTACAGAATCTGCAGACCATATGAACTACTTGATTTCTTATTCCACTTATTTACTTCCTCTCAAAGAGTTCTTATTTTGTAAACGAAAGAAAAGGAAAGGTCTTTGTGTTCTACTATTTAATGAATGTGGAATAACATGTACCTTCAACTTGTATAATTCTTCAAAGATTTATGTAATGTAACTACTGGAAAAATTAATGCATTGAATAATTAAAGGTTTTTCTCTCTATTATAGCTCAGTTTAACCAAGAATACTTGATGTTTTGACATTAAGTGCCTGAAAAAAGAGATTCAGAAATGTTAGAGTCCCATATAAGCTGTACAATATCACTAAATGGGGAGGTATTGAGGCCTGAATACTGGCATTCCTGTTCAACTTAAAAATATATTCTTGGCTAGCTTGATTGTTAACAGCCCAATATATTATCTTCCTATAGAACCAAATTTCTATTTTAACTAGACTTCTCGTTATCGCGTGCAGTCAGGTACTCTTGGAAAGCCCTGCAAACGGGGACCCCACCACTGACCCTCTGTGCATAGTTGTATTAACCATTGAGAGAGGATATTTGTCACACCCTACTGGACGACATCATGCCATGGTGTACATGTATATGAAAGAAGATGCGAGATAGCATGCACCATCCCCTTAACATTCAATACTCCTGAGCATTTCAGAAAGCCTTTCCATAAGGTTTAGTCTATCATCCAATTAGCAAAGACTTAAAAGATATCCATCTTTAGTAATAAAGTACCGTTTCACTGAATAAAAAGAGCATACAGCTCAAGAGGCGATGCGGTAGGCTTTTGAAATTGCTAAAGAGCAGATATATTGACACTCTTTGCAATTATGTTCCATTATCATAGAGTGTTACTGTCAATTTCATCTGGCGATTCCCCATCTAGAAAATAGCCTTTTTTTTCTTCTTCTTTTTTAAAAATTCATACAGTTCATCAAAATGTTGGCCACCGTGTTTCAAAACCCATCATACCAAGGAAACAATTGAGCTCTAAAATTCAAAGATTTTCAAGTTATTCTTATAAAGATTAGCTTTGACTTAAGATGGAGGGAGAGGGGAGGGGGTTGCAATAGGTTGATGTAAAAGGGATTTCCCCCTTGTTACTACCCAGGAGTACTGAATCACTGTCCCGATACATATTCTTTTTCTAGTAGATGTCAACATCGCATTCACCTAGACACTGAATATGTACACATGCTGAATGCTGTACATAGACTGGATATAGTCTAATGAAAGCTGGATTCTGTACAGAACTTGCAAGAAAACACTGACTTTTATAGAGTACTATTGGCAGCATAAGGTGCATTTAATACTGGAGAAGCAATGATATGAATTAACATTTGACAAGAGCATCGAAAACATCAAGTTATTTCCTATGTTTACTCAATTTGTTGCCTGTCATCTCAAACTTTAATTACTGTTTAGGGGCCAATACATATGTGAATCCAATGACTGATCTAAATTGAATGTTTGCTAACAATCAAACATATCGAGCGAAACTCAAGGTTTATACGTGCAGAAAAATGTCAAATCCTTATCATTACAACGATTATTAATCTTGCTATTATCACATGTGCCTATGATAATGCTCATGACTGGAATTTCATTTTATTCTGATAGCTAAATCTAATACAATAAGCATCATTACAACTACTATTATGACCGACTGAATGCTATTACTAAATTACAATTACTATTGCAGTATATCACAGTCACTTTGAATTTCTATTGCAATTACTAAATAGTATTTACTAAAAGTATTGCTATTACTAAAACATCATATAATGTATCCATCAAGTGGATATGTAAGTTAAGTTGTGAATAACATTGAAATCTACCTTCTTCTCATCCTCGTTGTTGTCAACGTATGGAACATGTGCCTCGTAGCCACTCTGAGGGCGGGCTTCGAGCGTTCGCGCCTTGTCTGGTGTGACGACCTCGTCTGCCCTGTCGGGGTCACGTGGTGATGATCCATATCCTTGGAAGGAAACAGTCATTTTGATTTGATTATATTAGATTTGATTTGAAATATTTCTTTGCCTACAAAAATTGAAGAATCATTAAAATGATATATCATGATGTATTATTATATTTCCAGTTGATTTACCAGTTGAAATCCAGTAGACTTACCAGTTTCAGATTGACTTCACTTGAGTTTGTCATTGATCGCAACTCCTTACATGAGAAATTGGGGACTGTTAAAATAAAAATTATACTCGGCAGATGTTGCTCTGTGTTCCTTCCACTACTTTAAAAAAGGGCAAAAAGGCTGCTTGTCTATATGTTACCACTGTCTAAACTCTTGGTCGGTCCTCTTCTACCAACGGCTAGACTATCCCTGTCTAGACTACCCTAAACACTATCCTTTAAAATGTAGTGTAATATTCTGTGATATATTACCACCATCTAAACTTCTAATGTGCCTCTCGCTCGCTCCTCTTTCAAATGCTGGACTATCCCTGTCAATGAGGGCCCTACACTACCCATACCCTAAACACTATCCTTTAAAATATAGTGCAACTATTCTGTGATATATTACCACCATCTAAACTTCTAGTATGCCTCTCGCTCGCTCCTCTTTCAACGGCTGGACTATCCCTGTCAAAGAGGGGGCTAGACTACCCCTTCTATAAACATTATGATCCTTTAAAATATAGTGCAACTATTCTGTGATATATTACCACCATCTTAACTTCTAGTATGCCTCTCGCTCGCTCCTCTTTTAACGGCACTATACTACCCTTACCCTAAACAATATTCTTTAAAATATAGTATAACTATTCTGTGATATATTACCACCATCTAAACTTCTAGTGTGCCTCTCGCTCGCTCCTCTCTCCACGGCTGGACTATCTCTGTCAATGAGGGCGCTAGCCTGTCTGGTCTGGAACTGTGTTCGTCCGCTGTAACGATACTTGGAGCCGAGCCAGAAGATGGGTCTCTTCTTGGGAGGTTCTGCATGTACAAGGCTGCAGAAAGACAGACACAGAGGGGGTAACAAGGATTCAAACGTCAATTACTATTGCCTTGACATATATATTGAGCAATTAGTTGCATCCTACTTTTCCTTTAAATACACTATGAAGCATTTACAATCGTTTTTGATAAATTACAGCATATACAAACAATTTTCTTCAAATGCTAAAAGACGCTGTTCATGACAAAACAAAACTAAATTTGATGTCTTTTCCATGTCAATCTCTATTATTCTTTGGGGGATGTTGCTCCAGTCTAGCAAGTAAAATATTACAACTTTTTAGTTGCATTTATTTAAAAAGCTAAAAATAAAGCAAAATGAACTAAAGATAAAAGTGCTTCATCAATCTCATATGTCTATATTACGAGTGATGCCTTTGCCAGAGTTTGGCTAAATAGCGCTTAGAGACTGTGTGTGTGTGTATTTGTTTTTCACAGACGTGTATCAATCAGATATGATTATTTACATCTGGGGACCGACCTTTAAACGTCACCATCCGAAAGACATGATTTCGAACCTGCATCTTAGAGACTTCGGTGGTAAGCGCTTTATAAGCGCCGTTTTTATTATTATTATTATTGTTATTATTATTAGCTGAAATGGTTTAGTGATAATATTAACATTAGATCTTTACATGCATTTAAGCCTTGGCTTGTTATGATATGATGGGGCAAACCACAGCTTTCCTTTTTTTCCCTTTTTTTCTTCAGTTTTTTGGTAAGTGCAATACACTTCACATTTCTTTGTCAGTGACCTCAGTGAATATGTGTAGGACATTAGTTACACGTAAACGTTTTAAAAAACATGCCCTTTTGCGGCGATTTACCATAGCTTCTATGAACAGCCATTACAATGTGCCAAGTGCATGTCACATACTTACCGGAAGAATGTATGGTGCTCTACACATACTTTCCACAAGCGTTTAGCTGCCCTATGATTGGCCAGCTTGAATCCAATAGTACTTTCAAATTGTTCAAACTAGAAAGAAAGACAAAATAGTTGAAAACTGGTTAACATAGGGAAAATAAGGTTCAAAATAGTGATTGAGACCAATATTACAAAGAGTATTTTTCAACTATAATTTAGAAAAGATTTATCTTCACAGCACTTTAGTTACCTTTAATTCAATTCAATTCAATTTAATTCAATTCTTTTATTCATCCAAATTCACAAGAATATATGGAAATTCGTTTTGGTCATACATTGTAAAAATACGTAATATATATATATATATGAGAAACTATATTGTTTATAATCATAAAAGCACCATCAAAATAAAAGGTAGTCAAAATACAAATATTCTTATATTCTAGTATTACACATTGAAAATGATGAAAAGGATAGAACATCAGTGTGAAGGAAGGAAGGAAGGAAAACCACAACAAACCGATACTGATACTTAGGCCCACATGCCCCTCACTCCATTTGGTTGTACAAATGAACGGAGTATGGAACACATGAGCCCAAATATCGGCTTGTCCGACATTTCAATGAGCGCATTAAGTAACCACAGCTATAGATAATATTACAAAATTACAACTTTATATGTGCGACATACAATCTTGCCTAGAACAGATTATGACACATATCAACACATGATAATATCAGTGCTTATTAAGGCATTATTTCAATGGCTGGATAGAATTTGGGCTTTTTGTGCAATTTTAAAAAATTGGTCTCTTGGAAAATTTAAAGGTATTACAAAATTTTGGTAAGGGGTCATGAATTTAGCTCAAAAGAACATATTAGAAGCCTATGCGAATTTACAATATTCAATGAAGAAGATAGTGTGAAGCCTTGGAATGGTATTCACTATTACTTTAAATATCATATAGCATATTCTTCCCATGGATAATAAGATAACATTTCACTGCTAATAGCATTGACATAGATCTACTATCTTCAAAATATCCATAAATAATTTTCCTTAAATATGTCTACTTACTTCTCGTGGACTAATTTTGATGTAGAAGTTGTTTCTCTATCTTGAGATCTTGAGATCTTGAGAATCTTTAGCCAGGCAAAGATTCTCAGTGTATTTCAAATTTGATTTCTTTGATATTTGTCTACTCATTTTTGGTTTCATTAGATGAAGAAGTTCTTTCTTTTGCATGATATTTAAAGGTCTTAAGCTAGACAAAGCAAGGTCTTTTAAAGTCTCTACAAGATAATATGACTCTCATTGGTATACTTACTTATCCTGGTCTAATTTTGATGTAGAAGTTGTTTCTCTTATATGATATCTTGAGGTTCTTTGGCCAGATGAGAAGTTCTTTCTTTTGCATTTTTTTAAAGAATCTTAAGCTCGACAAAGCAAGGTCTTTTAAAGTCTCTACAAGATAATATTACCGTCTCTGAAAGACATATAATATGACTCTCAATGGTATACTTACTTCTCCTGGTCTAATTTTGATGTAGAAGTTGATTCTCTTATATGATATCTTGAGGATCTTTGGCCAGGCAAAGCAGTTTATTCTCAGTCTATCTCAAATTTGATTTCCTTAATATTTGTCTACTCACTTTTGGTTTTATTAGATGAAGAAGTTCTTTCTTTTGTAAGATATTTAAAGGCTCTTAGGCTCGGCAAAGCAGGGCCTTTGAAAGTCTCTACAAGGTCAGACATATAATATGACTGTCTATGGTATACTTACTTCTCCTGGTCTAATTTTGATGTAGAAGTTGTTTCTCTTATATGATATCTTGAGGATCTTTGGCCAGGCAAAGCGGTTTATTCTCAGTCTATCTCTGTAGATCAGCAGCCCGTTGGCACATACGCCCAACATGATGTCTACTCCTTCAGAATCCTGGAAAAGAAAAAAAGAGATATTGAGTAATTATGGTATTGTTAATAAATACTAATATGAATTATTACACAGAGTAGTTTCGTCAGTATTAATGCTGGTTTCATTGAGGACCCAGCAATCATATGACTGTTAAAAGTGGTATTAACAATTTTCAGGCACAAAGATATATCACAAGAAAAAAAACCATTCATATATGAATATGTATACCCCCTTTCCTACAAACTTGAATGCAAAAATAGATACTAACAAAATCTGTGTTGATAAACCCATTTAAAAGCATACAAATAAGGTTCTAGTTTGGGGGTTTGCAGAACCTTATTTGATCAAATAACATTTTCTTCTTCATGGTTGTCTCTGTATTCTGGTATAAAACTTTAAGAAACAAATTTAACAAGAATACAAAATTCAATATAAATTTGATTGTTGTTGGGGTGTTTTTTTTACAAGGCTTTTCTGTGTTTAAAGGTACCAGCACATTCTATAGAGTTTATAGAATTAAAAATACATGTAAATCAAATTATGAATAGTTATACTGTACTGTGTACAACACACACAGTACCAGAGTACAGCATTAAAGACAGGAATGTCTAAACTGCCAATGTGATACAGCAATGCAGATGAGTCTTCAAAGAGTTAAAGACATGAGGGGTCTCACGAGAGAATACTGGAAATGTGTATGTCATCCCTAGGGAAAATGGACAAATGTGTGGAATGCAACATAGTTCTATGGGTTCACATGAGCGGAGGTTCATTCTGGACGGCAGCCAAGGCAGAGGGGATGTACCATGTTTATCAGTTCATCAAGTGCCCGCAAGAAGGCGGTTACTGCCATCAACAATACATACATGTCTAAATGAAGCATGCGAATCCAAAATAATTCTAGAGGTAAAACAAATTATGAAAAACAAAAATCTTCCACTCATTCCATACTTTGTTTTTATGCGTTTTGGTAAACGACTTCGTTCAATGAACTGTCGTACTCAACGTTTTCTAAATTCCTTTGTTCCTTTCTCGATCCGCAAATACAATCAAAATGCTACCTGAATTTTACGTTCTTCTTTATTTCTGTAATTTTATTTGTGTAACCTTTCCGGGCAATCCCGTTCACTCACTTATAATGTAAGAAAATTTCTGTATAGCAATATTTAGGAATTTCTATGTCAAAGTATAAGATATATTGTGTATGTAAACTTATTTTGATTCTTTGTACGTTTGTAAAATGTGAGCACAACACATTTCCAATATTGGACAATAAATTGAAATCGAAATTGAAATTGAATTGAAGTGCATGTACCTCTTTATGGCCTTCTTACGGGTACCTGACAAGTTATATGGAGGTGCTGAAAGAGGCTTACTGATAAAGAGTCACCTAGTGAATGACTACATTGGAATTTAGAGTGTCATGACTTGTAGGTTTGTAATAATTAGGTGTGAAAATTCAGATAGTTTGGTGAATGGTGACAAAATACTGGATACGTCCTCATGAAAGTTATGAAATCATTATTCATTTATGCAAAAGCAGTGCACTCCATGATACACAGGTTGAAGTATTCTTCGAAAAGAGGAAACAAAAGTTATTTATGTAGCACCTCCCTCGCTGTAGGAGTGATTATTTCAAAATGGGACTAAGTGGGACCTCTTCATGTTTTGAAGATCTGTGGATATTCAGGGTTAATTTGGGGCATGTGCTAACCGTGAACTGGTCTATACTCACCCTTGCGTGGTGTAGATCAACTCCATACATAGCGAGCTTCTTAGCATTGTCAAGGAAATGAAGATCGGCCTCAGCTGGGGTCTGCCCTCTTTAAACAAAACAAATTTAAAAACAAGATTAAATATTACTTTCTTGATGTCTTTCAATAAACTGTGGAGTGATTTTTGCCTCATCTCACTTACTGTTGTACATGTATGATTTGGGGGAATACATTTAAATCACCCTTAACTACTCAGAAAAAAGCAATAAGAACAGCTTGTGATGCACCATTTAATAGTCATACAAGCAATTTATTCCTTGTAAAATATTGAAAATCTCTGTTCTTGCACTTATGTATGTATACTTGTATCTTTATGTATCATTATCAACAAATGCCTTACCAGATACTTTCAATCTTTTTAGTACAAATACCTCTTATTACTCATATTTCACCCATCAATATGCAGATTTTCATCAATTTCTTCCCAACACTACAATCAGTCAAAATGAAAGTATGGTCCACAACCATTAGCTGTTACTTGTCATATTTTTAATATCAGGGCATCTTTTTTCAGGGGACACCTTTTCGATGTTACTATTCCATACTTGCATATCAGGAATGCAAAAGCTCACAAATTATATTTCACTTTTCCCAGAACTCAACCTTTAACTGAGAGTATTGCCTTTTATTACTGGGGAAGTGAGTACTTCCGTTTTCAGTTTCCAAAATAAACACAGATTAAAAGGAAGCAAGAAAAGAAGTGATACTACAGTCACTACGCGACAGAACCAAATACAAATATATGAGAAATATCATAGCACTGAAATGGTGCTCCGGGGGTGGAATTTTGAAAGGATGTTATTTTTTTTTATGGTAGAACGATGTTAATTGCCATAACAAATCAAAACTAAGACAATTTATTGGTTAAGGTCTATACAAAGCGACAAAAAAGACATCTGCCCACGCACCAATGGCAACTGATAGTTCTGCACATTTTCAGTTTGTTAGGACAATTAACATCAGGGTGCCTAACATGAAAGATAACATTGTTATCAACGCCATGCTTATCCCCCCACGCTCTTCCCTATTCCTTTCTCTCTCTCCCTCTCCCTCTCTCTTCCTCCCTCTCCCTCTCCCTCCCTCTCCCTCCCTCTCCCTCCCTCTCCCTCCCTCTTCCTCCCTCTCCCTCCCTCTATCAGCCCCTTCCCTCACCCTACCCAGCCATATGGCATGTGTCTAACCTGTGTGTCTTGTGCAACTCCATGACTTTCTCGTCGAGCTCTTTCTTCCTCTCCGGAGCGAAGCGGAATTGACCAAGGTAGGCTGTATCGATGCCATGCTTGTCGGCATCAAAATCACCAAGCTCACTCTGTACCACGTACGAACCCAAGAGGGCGTGTGTCACCAATGAGCAGGGCAGTCTCCCTCGCAGAATGTCATCGCGGATTTGTAGACAAAGAAAGTACCTGTGTGTAGCAAACAAAGAGAGCAAATCTAAGATTCAGTTTGTTATAGTTTGCATTACAGTATTTAAAAGATACCTGAAAGAGGGAATACCACCACACCTTGCCTTAATACCCTCTCCCAACCTCCAGAGTACAAACTTTTTACATCAATCAATCAGGAGTGGAACTGTTTTTCACAATTTCACCCCCCCCCCCCCCCCAACCCCCACCCCCTAGCCCTAAACTTTTTACGGCAGGTATAGGAGGGATCAAAGCCTGATTTCCAAAATCTCTTCTTTCCTTCCTTCCCTCATTTGTTCCTTCCTTCTTTCTTGTTATCCCTCTTTCTTTTCTTCCTTGCTTGTTTCTTTCTTTATTTATTTCACGTCTCTGTTCTCCTTTTCCCTTTCATCAACATCTTTTAATAAAATTTTCCTTTCTTTCCCCTTCTCTCTTCACGTTAAACAGACCTTTACCTTTCATGTCAAACAAGCAGTCAAAGTGAGATTAATTTATGTTATCCATAAAGGTATTTGTGGAGCCTTTGTGATTGATGTTTTTCCTACTAGAATCTCATCAGACACAGTAAATGGGTCATTTTTCACCTTCGCCCTCTATTCCATAAGCGATGTTCACACAAAACCATTGTAGTTTAAACTTCAAGTTTGCGAAACCTAAACGTTTTAAACAATGATCCACTCACAACGACGAAGGTTCACACAGGACTAAAACAACAGGTCATCAAGTTATCAAGTTATCTGCATCCAACGAGATGACAGAACATAACTTTGAGTACCCCCCCCCCCCTCACCCCAACTCCAAAAGCTTGTATTCATCACGCAAACCATAAGATCACTTGTATTCTTACGTAACTTTGAGCGAGGACCCCCACTACAGCTTGTATCCTTCACGCAATCACTTGTGGTTTATAAATTCAAGTAAATTAAACATTGTATAACCACAGGTTCATATGCACGGTCCTGAACTACAAGATAACCTCAGACTTTAAAGCCATGACATTTTAAGGACTGTCAGGTTAACCTAACTACGGTGTCACAGGGGTATCTCTGTACCATTGCATTGATTTATGTACCTGGAGATGACATGTTTATTCTGCTAAAATAAACCTCTGTCCCTACCCGTACTCCTCTACCAAAAAGACTCCAGTGCCTGATACAGGAACCCTCTCTGACAAAAAGGAGCAAGTAGCAATCCCATGTATGTGACAATTTATTTCTTTTTCATAACTGAATGAATGAAAAAAAAAATCAAAAATGCTTCTAAAGGCTAATTTTAATGTAATTAATCGATGATTCTGAATTCAGATAAAAATGAAAATACCACATTGGTATTAAAGCTTGCCTTTATTTTTTTGCTGTTCACTTCTCAAAGATTTTCTTGTTTTTAACGATTTTTTTTATTTTTTATTTTTTTAATTTCACTGTTGAACATTACATTTGTACTATTCAACTGTATTTTGCCCATGCCCCAGAAGAAAGAGATAAAATTCATTGTCATTTGTCACTACACATGATTTGATAACATGGTCCAAGCGATATAGTGGTAAATGTTTCTTAATTCCTTCTGCATCTAACATTGTAAAGTTTCAGCTGTCCAACCAACCAACCCACAAAAATGCAGGGAGTTTTTAAAGCTGCTTGTCACTTTGCACTTAGGCCTGGTCCTCTGTCTCCCATCATTCCATGCATAAACTCAATATCATCATTCACTTTCCATTGACCAGCATGGTATGGAAAATATTTGGATGATTTGTCACTCTTAGTTAGTGGGAGGGGGGGGGGGGGTCGTTCCAAGCATAAACTCAATATCATCATTCACATCAGTTTCCATTGACCAGCATGGTATGGAAAATATTTGGATGATTTGTCACACTCAGTTAGTGGGGGGGGGGGGGTTGGGGGGAAGAGGGGGTCCCAATCACCATCTAGACATTGGAGTTATACTGTAGATAAAAACACTCTTTTTAATGTGTGATAATTGGGGGGGTGGGGTTGGATCATAATAAGGCAAAATTTGTACCATCACGTTTTAGTCGAAGCATATTCTTTCACATGATTGGTAATAAGAGCTTCCATTTCATTTTTTGACAGGGGGTAGGGTCATAAAAAGGAGGGCCTGGTTCTCCTTTTCTTGTCATCCCATGGATTAACTCAATGTCATCTTTCTCTTTCTCTTTCCGTTGACTGTCATCCATCAACCAGGATGGAATTGAAAATATTTGGATGATTTGTCACCCTTGTTTGCTTTTAAAAAAGAAATCCCACTCACAACTGGATATTTGAGCTACATGTTTACTGTACATAAAAACACTTCATAAATTTGGTGATGGTTCGGGGATCGAGGAGTATATATTATAAAAGGCTTTGACGGATCAGTGCAGTAAAACAATGTTTGGAAGATATTGTCTTTCTTGTTTGGTATATAAAACAAAACCAGATTAGATCTTTGTACGGGGAAAGGGGCTAAATAGAAAGAACAAGATTTTAAAACACAATTTACTTTGAATGTTGGCAAGGTTGATACATGTAAATTGCAGTTCAGGGTCCTCCCCCCCCCCCCCCTGTATTAGTGATGGAATGCACATTCTGTGTATCAATGAGGGAAAAAAAGTATTTGAAGCCCTTCCCCTCCCATACGCCAATGGATCTCTAACACTGGGAATACAGACTTTTTTAAAATAATTGTTTCAGTGAGAATGTTGCTAGGCCCATAAACTATCTCTGTTACTGTCTTTTCTCAGGTAAAGTACAACCGTTTATCAGGATAGTGACCTACATGTAATCACCCCTTTCTCTGTAGTCATATAGTCTTGATACATACCTTGTGATATCTTCTTTGAGCTGTGCTGGATCTGGTGGATAAAACTTGACATTGAAGTAGAATAACCAAGGTCCATCTGTAACAAGGAGAACAAAAGATACAAATGGAATCGTTATTTAGAGATAATGCAGGCTCCATACTTTAAAGCGATACTGAACTAATGAAATTTTCACCCTAGCATTCTGTTTATTGCACAACGCCATCTAATGGTCAACTAGCCAATAGTGCGGAACCAAAGACCTAATTCCCACTTCGGAGAAAGAGGACTTGATGTGAGAGCCAACATCGCAAGTTGGGAAGCAGCAAATTCGGGGACCATACTGCTACAGCTGACCTGAGATGGCAGTAGAGGGGTTTTGAGGCAGTTTTGAGGCAGTGGGGAGTACAGTATGGCTTTAACTGTTTGCATAGGGGGTCCAGACTGAGATATTTAGGGCTGTGTGCATGAGCCCCATGTTAAAGTTTTGAAATTTTAGGATCCGAATGTAGATTAGTTGGTTAGCATTGATAAATTCAAATTTGTAATACATGTTATACATGTAGCTATCATCGGGCATTAGAAGCTTAGGTTGTTCATCACTACTTTGAGAAGTGATGCAACACATTTAGAAAGCAAATTCAGCATACATGTACATGACAAATATCTTCCTTTTTTAAACACGTAATACCTTGCTTCTCAGGATTAATTGAGAACCATTCACCACAAGAACCTCTCTAACCATACAATTTTAACCATACAATTTTTCAATTTTAATTCGTTTTAAATCATGGCTTCATACATGTATCTCTTCTACTTTATCAGAAAAATCCCACGCAAAGACATTTGCTGGTACCTGCACATGTATAGTAATTGAAATACTAACCACGAATATAAAAGAAAAGCCATCACATGACTTTTATAGACTTTCACGTTTACCTTGACAACAACACTCAATAATGTCTGATAGTGAAGTCAAGAAAGTAAACAGGTTTCCTTGCATAATTTGAATAATAAGACACTGCTAACGTTTAATTTCACAGATAGGACATGCATGACATATTCATAATTCCTGCAAAGTTCAACAGAATTTGATGCTGCTGCAAATGGGACATACTGTAGTACCTTTCAGAGATAGGTTTCAAGTTGCGATTGATTCGAATCAATTACAACTCTGTACAGGATGGGGTCCCTGACTATCTAATAGTGTTTTACTGACTATATAAAGCACAGCATACTTTATTTTCTTTTAGGCTTGATCTTTCTAAAATATAAGAGAGTGCATAGTCATTTGAGACCCATCCATGTTTTGAAATCGTTAAACCTTGTTTGATATCAATTTTGTTGTCATGAAGTGTAAAATAAAATGCCTATGTGCTAGAGCGTCCTTCAGACGAAGGATGATCAAAAGTATGAATGTACTCCAGGTGTATACCAAGGAGGCATCTGATAATAAAACAGATACTACCAGTGCTTTTCATTTAGGTTTCTCATATTACGACACACCCTCTCTTCCATGACACAATGGATCTCGTCTCGCTGCTACTACTACACTCGAAATATATCCCATGACCTTTCTTTCGCTTTAGTCTCTGCAATATTGGCAATTTCTCAACGACTTAAATGGATGCTGCCAGCTCTAATGTGCCATGACGAGAAGGGTGAAAGAGGGAGAAGAGGAGAGAGAGAGAAAGGCAGACAGATAGACAGACAAAGGTAGAGAAAGGGGATATGGAGAGAGAGAGAGAGAGAGAGAGAGAGAGAGAGAGAGTGAGAAGAGAGATATGCATTAGCACTAGATAGCCACGTTGTCAGTGTATTGTCTGATCACAATATGGAAGAGGGAGAAAATATTCATCTCGACTAATATACATGTGTACGAAGTCACGTCTACAATACATGCATGACGTACAAGAATAGAAGTTGGGTTATGTCAATAAGCAAATGGTTTTACAGTTGTAAATATGGATATTCAAATGCATTTTAATGTGGATGAATGACACAGACATCTAACAGGATGAACGTGTGAAATAGGCATATGTCCATACCAGAATAGTAAGGCTTCAAATTGTTAACTACCACATATGAATATTTCTCCTACTATATTTTTATTGGCCAGTTCATTATGTATGTACATGTATCCTCCCCCCCCCTCCCTCCCATATCATAGTTATTCATTATTTTATTGCTACAGTTTTTCTGAAGGGCTAAAATATAATGTTCCTGGATTGGAAAAGGTCTGTCATATGCTACTCTGTGAGGTTATTTGCACTAAATATATTTTTGTGATGCTTTTAAATTATATTATGTAAATGTTGGAAAAATATGCATAAATGTCTTTTCTTTGATACTAGTTATAGACTGTCACATGTGTTAAGAGTTGAAGAGAAGTCACCATAAAGTACATGTATGCATGATGAGCAATTCATAGGAGACTTTTTTTTATTATTTCAGGACATGTATTAATGCTTCTTTCCTTCTTTTGACCATGATGGCTTCCCCTCTATATCAACTGTCACTTCATAATCATAATTAAACCCATCTCTCTGTCTCTATCTTACTCTCTCTGTCTCTATCGTCCTCTTTCTGTCTCTCTCTCTGTCTCTCTCTCTCTCTCTCTCTCTCTCTCTCTATATACATATATATATATATATCTTACTCTCTGTCTCTCTCTCTCTGTCTTTGTCTCTATCTTCCTCTACGTGTCTCTGTCTCTTTCTCTCTCTCTCTCTCTCCTTCTCTCTCTCTCTCTCTCTCCCTCCCTTCTTTCTCTCTCTCTCTCTCTATCTCTTCCTCTCTTCCTCTCCTTCTCTCTCTAAATTCAGTTCATGTACCTTTGTCAATGTATTTGCCGCCAATACAAGAGCCCTGTTCCATAAAACTTACCATTGATGGTAATTTTGCCATCAATATTAACTACCATGGCAACATTTCTTAACATCCAATTTAAAAATAAAAGTTTCCTTGAAAGTTGCTGTCACTGAAATTAGTAAAAATGAACAATATTAACAGTGTCTGTGTCACATATGTACACACTGCCCCCCCCCCCCAAGAAAAAACCGCTCCATTTAGTCCAAAGTCATTAAATTCAATAATAAAATTGCGGTATTTGAACTACTTACATCAATGAAAGGGTTCATACTGGTCCAGGAAGGAGGTACATGTCTTTAAAAATAGACCACATGTAACATTAGAGTCCTGGAACCACTTCAACTAGCAATAATGTGAAAATTGTGAATATCCTTCAGATTTCCTGAATTAATCTGATTGAATTTCAAACACAGCGTGAGATGATCAACTATTTCCTTGCTTCAGACTAGGTATACATGCTTCACGCTAAGATTCCCAAAAGTAGCTCCATCCACATAAATCCATTATTTTCAAAAAGATGTTATTCCTTTTACATAAAAAAGAAAACGAAAATGAAAGTAGATTTACATGGTATTGGGTGGAACATCCTAAATTCTGTAAAAAATTTATGATATGACAAATTCTCATCAATGTTTTATTTGCTATTAAGTAGCAGCAAGAAACCTACATGGTTTGCAAGAGTAATCCCAGTCCTAACCCTAATCAATTTTAGAACTAAGGAGCACCCCCCCCCCCCATCCCCTCCCACACCAAGACAATGTGTCCTTCATTCATCTATAGTAATACCATCTGTTGAGTACAGAAACATGGCTACACAGTACACATACGTCAATTTAATGCTACAGTGAAAAAAAAACACTCTGATAAACATCACAATATTTCCACAGATGTGTGAAAGGGTCTCTTGTTTTGATACCTAGTATGAAACGCGATTATAATGTGAGTATGAATCATACATACATGCAATGGTTTATTCAGATGTTCATTAGCTGAGCAGCACCTAGAACAATGTAATTATTGGGAGCCAGAAGACGTGTCCATGACAAAATAATTGCACTTTCACACATCTCTTGTTACTCCCAAAAACATACAAAATATAATTTTACAGATTTCAATGATTTAAAAAAAAAGCAAAATGCAACATTCAGGTCTATTAATTTGAGCCAGGTTATTGTAGAAATGTTGTTACTAATGCATCAATGTGCAGTAAATGTGAGAGTAATTGTCTGTTCTCTTATCTATACATGTATACATGCGGTATGTAATCCTGTAGGATTTTTGTGCCAAAGTTGATTTTTTTTTTTTCTTCTTCTTTTTTTTGTTGCTGTTTTGGCTTCAAAAGGGTCCCAATTAGCCAAAAAAGTTGGGGTTCAAATTTTCAGACCCCTCCTTCATTTCCACGGGGGTCCATATTGGGCGCCAAAATGGCTATATAACGAGCAATAGGGAAATTTGGTGTCTCCTGGAAAATTTGAACCCCATCAATTTATGATAGCTTGGACCCATATTAATCCAAAAATGAAAAAAAAATCAACTTTGGCACAAAAATCCTATGGGAGCTGTTTCAGTGACATACCGTACCACACTATTACCTTGGCAAGGAGTATCCTAAAACTCCTTGCCAAACTCCCAAACTAAATTGCAAATAATACCCTACAGAATATTTGTTATATTGCTGTGTAATTGCTACATATGAATATAATCTGTTCTGTGTGTAATCAGAACTCTTGCCTCTACATTTAAAAAATTCTGAAAATGTTGCAGCTGGAAACAATCGGATTTCAACAATGACATTGTTCCATTCTTTGTAATTCTTCCTAAACATTGCTCACAGCATAAGCATCCTGTGTGAGATTATGATGATGTTTATATTGATCTAATATAAATCCATACCACTTCCAGGACAACCCATGCAAAGATGAACAAAGTATAATACGTTTGCTTTTACACACGCAATCCTATTTGACAATATGAATTAACAAATCAGGGAATGTTTGTATAACCTGTATAACTCCCATAAATCTATTGTTATTTGCTTCATCCCATTGTGTGTGGAAATAAAGCTGGATTTTATAGTGATATTGAAATCTATCCCAGTTCCCTCAAAAAGCTAATTGCTGTGCCATTGTTAGAAGATATAGAGGGTAATGAAACATTATCTTCCCTGTAACTGACAAACAAAATATTTTTTTCAAATAAATTAAAAGAAAAGTTGTAAAGAATTATTG